GAATTAGATGACTTTTGCAAGTTAAAGGGTATAACATATCAAAAGTCTATACCGTATTTACCAGAAGAAAATGGTGCCGCTGAGAGAGATCACCAAACTAAGTTTGGGAAAGTACGGTGTGCATTAATGGATGCAAAGATACCTGTGGTGTGGTGGCCCGAGGCCCTTGTTTATATGAACTATGTTCAAAACAGAAGTCCAATGAAACGTTTTGGGTTTAAAACACCGTACGAAATGTTCTATAAAGAGGCACCGGACGTGAGTCGTTTACACGCATGGGGTTCCCTGTGCTGTGCTTAATTACTCAAAGAGCTCAGGAGTGACAAGAAACTCTCTGCTAGAGCTACAAAGTGTAGATTCCTCGGTATCTCTGAAGAGTACAACGGTTACCGTCTTCTTGATATTGAACGAGATGGCTACTTCGTCGCAAGGGATATTCTATTCGACCATGTATCATCACAAGAGCTCATTCGTAATGCGTTTAAAACTAATGATACCGTTTCAAATGACGACGAACTGTGCGAAACAGAGGAACTAAGAGCATCCCCACCCCTGACGCTAAACCCAAAACTCTAAAACCAGATCTAAAGTGGGATCACGCAAAATAATTTAGCGTTTTTCATCATATTTCACACCGGTTGCCAAACAGCGATTGATAGTGAACTCTATTCGCATGGACACGACACCAAGCAGCAGAATCGCCTGGATAAAAGTAGTTCAGGGCAAAGCATGCCAACAAGTCAGTGAATGAACTACTACAGGAAATATCGCTTAGAAAGCCGCATCCGGAGTAGCACTCCGTTGCCGGTACTAGTGCGGTTGCGACCTATAATCGCGTCTACGCTTACATGCGCTTGAAAACGAACCGATACACAACATTTGATTTATAGTCTACGCATGCGTTAACAGAAGTCCAGAAGTCGGGGAGGGGACATGCTCCGTTGGTCGAGAAACCAGTGCCTGTGATGTAGGCACCGTACACGAGCGAGCGGGTGCAGTGCTGGGGCAACGCATGCAGGCGCTGGTTCCACGCGACCTGGTCCTCGTTGCATCTGTTCAGGCGCCAACTTTCAGTGTGCTTCCTACAAGAATCGCAATAAGATTAACATCATCGGTCGGCGAGGTTGGCACATGCCGAAGGACGACTGCCGTCATGGCCAATGGCGGCAGTCATCTTTCACCATGCAAGCGTCACATGCAGTCGTGTCGATGAGACACACAAGATAGGACTCATGGACTCACTCTAATTTAGCGTTGAGCGGCGCTTTGCGCTATGTGGGGCCGCGAGGACACGCACCTGTACTTGGCCGACATGGCGGCATGCCATTGCAACCAGGTAATCCTAAACGTGTTGGGAATTGTATGGACTTGGAAATGTAGTGCTGATTGTATGCTGGCCAGAACTCTAACCAATCGGTCAAATCTGACGAATAATCTGACTTTAGCGCGCCGGATAGCGTCGACGCTAGAATTTAGAGTCCCGCGGTGGGAGAATTAAAACGCTAAAATCTGACTGAAAAAATACAGTTTTGGAGTTTTAGCGCCACGAGTGGGAATGCTCTAAGTGGTTCCAAACGTCCACTAGAAATTTCTGGCAATGATGAGCCACGAAACTAACATTCTAATATTGACACTACAGTAGAGACAGTGGGAGTTGAGATACTTGCAGAGACAGTGGGAGTTGCTTCGAATAGATCTCTCCCTAAACCAGTGCCAATTGAAACGGTAACATACTTAGAACGAAGTGCACGTAAAAGACAACCACCCAGTCGTCTGTAGTATACCTGCAATACTAGTATGGTTAATAAGTTAACCGACAAAATCGCTGTTGATAAGCATCGCAAGCATCATAAAGTACCAAAATCTTACAAGGAAGCCATGCGACCATGCGATGTGACAATCGCGCCAACTGGGTGCAGGCACTGGATTCTGAATATAACTCACTCATGGAAAATGCCACATGGGAGTTATGTCCAATGCCATTGGATGAAAAAGTTCTTCCCTGTCATTGGGTATTTAATGTAAAATATTTATCCAATGGTAACATTGAGCGTTACAAAGCACGACTCGTAGCACAAGGTTGCCACCAAAAAGATGGAGTCGACTGCGACGAGATTTATGCTCCCGTCGCTCGATATGAGTCATTACGACTTGTACTAGCAATAGTAACTATACTCAATATCGAGTGTCATCAAATGGATGTTGTTACAGCGTTTCTAAATGGAACACTAACTGAGAGAATCTACACGCGACAGCCTGTGGGCTACTTTAGGAAAGGACCTGAGTGTGTTCTTCGCCTAAAGAAGAGTATCTATGGCTTACGCCAGGCACCTAGAATTTGGTACAATGTTCTACATGCTCTCCTCACAGAAATGGGTTTTGTACGGTACTACAAAGAATATTGTATCTACGTCCTAAAAAATGGGAGAATTCAGCCAAGTGTTCAGTACCTAAGACAGTGACTGGGTCATATTAGTTGTATATGTCGATGACTTTACTATAGTTTCTCCAAGTGTCCAAAGTGTGAACAAAATAAAGGCTGAACTATCTGGCCACTTCAAGATGAAGATCAGTTACATTCTCAAAATGGAAGTCAAACGTCACCGCAAGAATCGACTTATGACGATTTCTCAGAATAAGTACATCAATGATTTGATGGAAAACTTCGGTATGACCGAATCTTCAACAGTATCGACACCTCAAATAGTAGGACAAGAGTTGATTGCTGAAAGCAACATGTCAAGGGAGCAGATTGATGCACAACCCTACGACTACAGGGTACTTATAGGATCATTGAAGTATCTCGTCAGAGGCCCGAGACCTGACATTGCAAGTGCAGTTCGCGATCTAAGTAGATTTCTAACATGTTACAATGAAAGGCATTGGCTAGCGGCCTTGCGAATCCTCAGATACTTGAAAGGAACGTCCACCTATGGCCTCTATCTCAATGGTAACACAGAACAGATAGACTACGATGTCTTCACGGACGCTTCTTTCCCGAGTCAGTCAAAAGATCATAAATCCGTCTGGGGATATTTAATTCGGATGGCAGGGATTTGTATCAGCTGGGCAAGCTCTATACAGCACTGCGTAGCGCTATCCACATCAGCAGAGTTAGTGGCGTTTGTGAAGGCTGGAAAGAATGTGAGCGGATTCACGCACTTTTGAGTGAAATGGGTTTAACGTTAAACCGCCCAATTACAGTACAGACAACGAGGGAATTTAAGGCTCATCGAAGTTCTGTGTGTAGCGCAAATTTCACGATATGATTGGATAGCGTAGTTCGAAATTCGAAACATTATAAAAATTCACCCATAGAAATTTAAGTATTTCGTGATTTGCTGCTGATTGGCTGAAAAAAGAGTGTGACACTCAAAACTTCGATGAGCCTTAAATTCCCTCGTTGTATGGTGTGACAGCCGTGCTGCAATTGATTGCGTCAAAAATCCAGGAAACCACAAGGGTACAAAGCATATTGATATTCGAACACTCTTCACTCGTGAACTGTCTGAAAGGAAGAAAATAATCTTAAATTATTGCTCATCTAAAGAGATGATTGCTGCATACTGACTAAGCCACTGGCGCAGCAACAGTTTACATGCTTAAGGGCAAAGATGGGTGTGCAAGATTTAGCTATGGTGAAACCAGAGAGCTTTTAGTGGGAGTGTTAGCCATAGGCAGACAAGGATTGAAGTTACATAGATAAAGCTATATATATGAGATTGAAGCTGGAAGAGCTACAGGCTTCACATCCCTCGACTACTTCAGTGTGTCGAGGGCCAATGGGGGACTGCCAAAACCTACACAAACAAATTTGTGTGGACATTGAGACATTTTTCAAATAAAAATTTGTGTCGAGTCGTTCACAATTAGATTAGACGATATTTTGGTCTCCGCAAAGCAATGGGTTTATGTCAAACCCGACACAATTAATCTCTAATAATTTGTACAATTTTTTTAAGTACAATTAAGACGATTGGACAAGCCAACAGCTCTACCAGTCCTTTCATTGATAATCTTACCATGTCCATGTCCAGCAATGGGCGCGAGAAGAATTGGTGCGTCGCGTCAGTAGACCTCATGCTGGACAAAGTCGAATCGATATTACCGATGGGCAAAAACGCATGGAGAAAGGTAGAAGTTGAGTTCAACACAGCGGCAAGCGTTTTTCCGCACCGTGATGCCGAATCATTGAAGTGTAAATATCAACAGCTACGCAACAATCCGAAGCCAACAAGCGACCCGGAGTGCCCGATGGATGTTCGGCGAGCAAAGCGGATTGCTCGTGACATCGACAACAAAACAGACGTGCTGGCACGCGAGGACGATTGTGAAGTGGACGACGAAGTTGGCAGCATAGGCAATGGTATATATATGATTGGTATTCAAACGGTGGATTAAGATACTTATGTAGACTTTGAAAGTGAATATGTGGGACCCGAAAGCCGAACGGTACGGGCTTGGATCGAACTGCGTTGACCGAACTTGGGGCTTCGCTGAAGGCTAGCTGAGCATGTGATAGCACGGGGCAGTTGTCATACGTTGTGAAGAAAAGGCTGTCGATCGACAAGTTTATTGACAACGCAGCGGCAGCAGACAGCAAGGCAACAATGGACTATGCCTATGATGGTTGCCATGGATGAGCGTGCGGCAAAACGTGAAGAAATGCGATTGGAGCGTGATGATTCTTGGCGTCGAGAACAGGTTGCAAGTGAAATCAAATCAGAAGCCGACCGTCAAGAGCGCGAAGATCGTCGAGAGCAACTGCAGCTGATGATATTTTCAAAACTGTTCGACAAAAAAAGAGGACACTAACATACAGTGCGCGCCACCTGGTTTTTCAAAGGACCCATGAGATAAAATGCACGTCCAGCGAAACTAAATATACCAAAATTACGCATTTGATTGGTCCGTTTGTTTGGCGCTTGATTCAGGTCAAAATAATCAAACCAAGCCGAGTTATGCCGCGAAAACTGAATTTGAGGCGCGACAACCGGATAGGACACCTAACTTTCAAACCCACCCTGAGCTGGTTCAAGGTAATCCTTGCACGTACAAGGAGTAAGCGTCAATAAACAACCCTTTGACAAGCGTTGCCTTGAGTTTCCAAGCTCAACAACCATGGGCAGAGCCGCGCAACTCACTGAGTACGAGCAAGGCAGTGCTTTGGCGTTTTGGAAGGCCGAGTGGTTGGTCAAGCGCATTGCCGCCACCCTGGGCCGTTCCGGGAACGTCGTTACAAGTTTCCTTCGGCAGCCCGACACGTACGGGACCAACTACATCCCCCAAAGGCTACAAAAGTGGCGGAACGTGCACGCCGCCAACTGGTCAAACACGCCTCGACGACCGGCTGCTCTGCCAGGCAGCTCAAAGCGCACGTACCGTTAGATGTCTCTCTGCGGACGTACCAACGAATCCTACACCAAACCGTGTTCTTGAAGTACACAAAGCACCAGCATGCACCCAAGCTCCTTCAGCGGCACAATGGCGCGCGGCTCAAGTACGCCGAAGGCCATCTCACGAAACCAGCAGAATGGGACCATGTGGTGTGGTCCGACGAAAAGAAGTTCAATCTGGATGGCCCCGATGGCTTCCAATTCTATTGGCATGACCTTCGCCACGAGAAGGACCAATTTTTCACCCGGCACAGCGGCGGCGGCTGTTGCATGGTTTGGGCAGCGTTTTCCTGTCACGGCAAATCGGAGATTGCGTTTCTGGAAGGCTCGCAAACAGGAGACAAGTATATCTATCTCCCCTTCAAACCCGCCCGCCCCCCCGACGAACCGGCTGTAATTAAAAAAAAAGGGGGTCTAAAAACCAAAATTTCAGTAAAATCGCTCGCCGGAATTAAACTCCATTGAAAATGTTTGGGGTGTTCTGGCTCGCCAAGTTTACCTTAATGGTAAGCAGTTTGTGTCCGTGGACGACCTGAAGGTTGCCATCAAGCGCGAGGGGGGGAAATTTCCCAAAACTACTTGCAGGACCTCGTCAAGTCGATGCCAAAGCGCTGTGTGCGTGTGATCCAAGCTAAAGGAGGCAAGACTAAGTATTAAATACAAAACTTTGTGATTCCAGGACATATTTCGTTGTAAACTTCTTGGGTGTCCTATCCTGATGTCGCACCCCAAATAGCTGTTTAGTGTCATAATTTGATCAGTACTCTTTGTAATTGTCTGCATCTTCACTTAATTGATCTCGCCATGGCTGTCAATTGACTTCCTCCTCGCTTGGGTTGCAAATCAGCACAACTGCCATCCACTACTACAGAAAACTGGGGTGTCCTATCCATGTGGCGCGCACTGTAACTTGGTGTAAAAACGTCATTACTAATCATTTACTTTGCTTATTTTGAAGTAAAGTACTGAAAGCAATAGAATTTTTATTCATGAATTAGGACTTTTATTACTTTGAGTACTGAATTAGGCGATTACTGCGAAAAACGAAGAATCTCGATGAAGTAATATTACCAGATTTAATTCATACTTACTGTTAGTTGGACTATCAGTTTAATTTTTTCTCGTTGCTTACAACCAACCCCCTATGAACTTGAAAATCGGCACAGCTAGGCTACACTTAGAGCATCTCCAACGGTAAATTCTAACCTATTGCTAAAGCATAGGTTAAAGTCAAACTTCGTTTTTACGGTTGCTATTTTGGCACTATCCGGACTTTTTAGAAATTTCGTCCCGCAGAATTTCTATTTTCGCGTGAAATAGCAACAAACCCTCCGGATAGAGCAAGAGTTTCTATACTATATCCGTAACTTCGAATTGAAATAGAAATAAAAACGCCGTTGGAGATGCTCTTAGGAGTTATTTCAGAGCTCAAAATTATTAACCAATCAAAACCTTCTCAATGAAATTCAACCAATCAGATCGATTGTGGATCGGTTTGGTCGGCGCGATCCCTTCCCCAAATTTGTATCAAATTGACAATATCCGGACTGAATTTACGATGTGCAAGTGATTTGTGTAGGTTTTGGGAGTCCTGCAAACTCTATTATCATTCATCTGCCATCAAATGCTCCAGCGCCGCTACAAACCCGCCATGTCAAGTCGTCAGTACCCCAACTCGCAATCATATATATATATATACCTTCATAGGACGCGAGGTAATACCCACTTTCGCCCATGCGCTTTTCCGGGTCACTGAGCACATTGAGCACGCGGAGAAGGACGAGGGGGTTGGACATGTCGGCGTTGACAATCACGTAAATAAAGATGGGCAAAAAGTCGTCTCCACTCAGCACCTGCGAGTGTCCGTGCTCCCGCTGGAACGTCCGGTGCACGGTCAGCGCACATTCAAGCAGCTTGCGCATCTTGTCCACGGGCAGGTACATCGCGTCCACCTCTTTCAGCACGCGGATGGCGTCGCGCCAGCCACTGACGCTGGCTGTGTGGTCTGAGATTTCAAACGACGCCTGACTTTGTTTCGCCAGTCGAGCCATGCGCGCCTTCACCGCCGCCTCCTTCGTCCGCATGCTGGCTTCCAGCGCCGTCCACAGCGCCGGCAGCACCGGCACACACACACACTCTTCAACCTCGTGTCGGATCGCATCCGAGATCCATTCATACGCGACGACCTCTTCTTCTTCCTCTACCTCGTCGCACATTTCCAGCTTGCCACTGGGTGTCTTTCGTGCGCTGCTTGTTATAAACGCATGCACATGGGTCTTCATATCGGCCATACGATGCTCCATCATGTACGATTGAACGTTGTCCAGCACTTGCCCTAGCTCGTCCAGTGCCGCAGACGTGCAAACTGGTTTGGCCAGGAACTTGCGGCATACTTTTCCTTCGGGGGTCGTGATATCCTGGAGCACGTGGAAAGCGTACACCCGTAGGGCACGGATGCCCGGCAGTGTCGTGTTGTGGAAGAGGGTAGCCGAGTCCGGCAGAGACAGGAACGTCTGGAGGAGCGAGAGGGCGCCGGCGCGGGCACCCGTGAGCGGCGACGGGGTCACGAGCGACGCCACGAGGCGGAGGTAGGCTTCGAGCGCCGGCTGCCGCTGCGCCGCCACGCGCGGGTCCTCTTTCTTGCCCAGCCCCGTCTGCCGCGATGGAAACGGAAACCCATTCACGCGAGTCGTGAGGGCTGTCAGCTACATTCCCATTATATTTGGGTTTTATTGGCAAGAGAGAGATACCTTGCGGTGGAACTTATGGAATTCTTTGAATCGGCGCCGAGTAAACACGACAACCCCAGTCTCTAAATCGCTCGTTCGGATCTCGTATTCCTATTCGCAAGTTATTACATCAAAATATATATTGCACCAAATCGATCGACCAATCAAAACCCAGAACACGAATCAAGTCGCCAATCAAATCACTATGATTCTTGCTTCAACCATTCAAGATCGAATTCATGTGTGACACTGGTCCATATGTACATACAACAGTCAGTACAAGACTATAAATCACATATTACAAACTTGTTTGACACAAAATATCCCATGAAAAATGACAACGTCATCGCAGGTATACCGTGTGTTGGCTGGTCGTGATGGCTTTGATAATTCGAATCGATAACGCATGGCGGAGATCTAACCACATACAAACACGATACTATATGGGCCACATGGACACAATGATAAAACGCCCGAGGGTGGTTGGTTACTTTTGCATTTCAGCACCAAGCAATTCCACTGGTGGTCTGTGATCATCATCGCATTGTGTCCACTAGTAGTACTAGTAGTACTAGTCGCGTCCCCGCCATGCTACAGCATACAACACGAGTGGGTCGTCGTGAGCCTACTAACTAGTAGTCGCGTAGTTTGAACCACATCCATCCATCGTTCGTGTACCCCTTTGGAAGACATCCTCGTAACGATCATCGAGCGCAAGTTCTCCAGCTCGTCGCTCCCAATCAGTCCGCTGCGATACAGTCCACTGGCCTTGGTCAAGCAGTCCAACAACCGGTGCGGTTCTCGCGTCCGGATACGGTCTTCGGCGCTCACAATGTCCAGTTTGCTTCGCTACAATCACTCGATCATATAGTCGCAAAGTCCATCGGGTGTACCTTGATCACCGTGAGCTTGGCAAAGAGGCTGTCGGTACGCGAGTTGGGCCGGCCCAACGGCCGCCGCGTCCGCGGATATCGACGGTCGCCTACTTCAAGCATCAACATGATGCAAACAAATCAACGTACGACCTTCGCACGCCCTTGCAAAGGGTGAAGGGTCACATGTCTCGACGACGACAGGAATCGCCATGGGAGTTGGTGACGATGGTGGCATCATCATGGTGTCACCGTCGATAAATTCGCGGCCGTACACTGTGCCGTCATCGTGGGCGTACGAGCTTTCCTGCCGCGTCAAGTCTTCGGGATGTAATGGCATGCTCGCAATGTCCTCATCCACATCGTCGAAAGCGGTCATAGGAGGAGCGTGAAGTGGGCTGGACGGCATCGCGCCTTCGCCTGGCACCCGAAGGAAGTCGTCTGGAAGAGGATGCTTGACCACGTACGCAAACGGCAACGACGCGGCAGATTGGCTGGACCAGCCCTGTCGCATATTGTGCTCCTGCTCGGTTTCGTCCTCCATTTGCAGCAACGACGTGATGGCGTCGTCCATGACATAACCTACGGTTCACATGAGCTTGGTCGAGGGGATGGGACGTACCGTGCGCTTCGAGCATGAGTTGCAGTGTGCTGGCGTCCCACGTGGGGAAGATGGACTTCAACTGGTCCAAACTATGCGCCGCCATGTCGGCATTGAATGTCGTTGGCCGGAGAGCGGAGATGGTATGCGTGCTGCTGGCGTACAACGTGGTCGCGTGGCTAAGCAGTTCTCGTTTCTTTGACTTCATCGAGTCGCCGATTTCGCGAATCCACGGCGGCAGGCCAACTCCAAGCGACTCGCGAGACTTGGACTTGTCCGTTGATTCACGAGAAGAGTCTCCAAGGGACATGGCTTGAGAACTCGCTATAGAGCGACGGTGATCCAATGCTACAGAGCACGCCGTCAGTGATGCACAGGACTATCAGTGGCATGACGATGGAAGTACCTACCTACCTACGTACGCTGTCAAGATCGGCCAGTTCCGAACGATGCGTTGGTCGGTCATCCGGATACATAGGTAAAAAACCAACGTCAGTTTGTCCGGATAAACTCTACTGCACAAATAATAATAGTATTGGCATAGTATCAATAATACAATTGCTATAGTCGAGTGGGTGGTATACATATACACAACCGCAATTAACGCCTTTATTTAAATTTTGATGTTTGATTTATTAATACATTGGCATTTGACAGTCTGCAAGACCAGTTGACAGTCTGCAAGACCAGTTCAAGGAATGGCAGCAGAAGAAGCAGTTGTCCGTGCGCGAATCGCCGCCTTGAAGAGCCTTCTTGACACACAGGACCGACAGTCGGCCACGAGCATGTCTTATGGACATGCCAGGTACAATAATGCGCCCCATCCACGCCATGTTCGGCACACATCCCGTGCACCTGTCCGACGAAATCCGTCATTTCCCACACCCCACTCCAAGCCTCGGCACCTCACATGGACGCCCCCTGATGAGTCTTCTTCGTCGTCATCATCATCATCTACAACACATCTATCTTCGCTCGCGCCATCCCTTTCAACAGCAATGACGACGACCAACCCCCCAAAACGCCCGGCATCGGTCACTACACTCGCGCTTGAAGATGGCATGTATCGCAAGATGGGACGCGGGTTCAAACTTCGTCGAGAAGACACGCTTCCCAAGTCAGCTGTGGAAGTGAGCGCAGCCATCGCCACGACCAAACAGAAACAACCTTCTCCACCCCCACCGCCTGCTCCAGTTGTCATATCCTCAATGCCTCGTCCTCTACCACCACCATCTACACTCACCCGTCGCCCCACCCCGTTGCATCGTGGCAGTTCCGCACCTGTCCCACATCCTCGCACGGAACTCTGTCTCTTTTACATCAAGCACGGCGAATGCAAACACAAGCACGCGTGCTTGTTCGTCCACGACAGCCGGACGATCTCCATGTGCCGACCGTTCCTCCGCGGCGCCTGCCCCCATGCGTCGGCGTGCCGATTATCACATACCCCCGACCAGGTACCCCTATACCCTCTACAAATTTAGCGTTGATGTGTGCAGCACAAGATGCCGGACTGCGCCATGTTTCTCAAGGGTCTGTGCTCGCGGGAAGGCTGCATGTACCGCCATGTCAACGTAAGTCGACAAGCCGCTACATGCGACGCCTTTTCCCTGCGCGGGTACTGCGCAGATGGCGCCACTTGCCAGCACAAGCACGAGTTCGCCAAAGGTACTAGTAGTAGTCGCATCCTGTACAGACAAGGAGGCCAGACATCGGTAGCCTATGGCCACATGCTGCATGTCCTGAATGATGACTCGATGGGAAATGACCCCACCCCCCCCGTCGAAGGGTCTTTGAACCTTCGGCCCACGATTCGATTCACCCCCAAAGTAGTTTAAAGAACAACACGAGAACAACTGGTTACTTTTGCACTTTTGTGGCTGCTGCTGCTTGCTCACGGGACTGAACGCGCTTCATCTGGGCGTCCACGGCCACTTTGGCCCGCTTGGCGTCGACACCGCGGCCGCACGTGTGGATGATCGTGCGCTGCGAAGAAGATGGCGGCGCCTTGGCGTCGTCTTCGCGCTTACGCTTGCCCTTGGGCGGCGGCGTGAGCAAGTCGACCTTGTGCGTCGAGCTTTTCTCGGCAGATGGCGGGACTGGCAATAGCGTCAGCGGTGCCGCGTCCGCGTGCTTGCGCGCAAGCTTCTCGCGGATACGGGTCACTTGTGCGGTCTCAGGGAGGGGTTCAAATATCCGTCGTGCTGTTATCGTTGGCTTTGTCGGAGTCAACAAAGCAGCAGCGGTAGCTGCAACGGCCTCCTTGGTATCCGTCTCCTTGCCGTCCTCAGACTTTGCGTCCTCGTTGTCCTTAGTCTTCTCAAGAGGAAGCGTCGCTGCCGCTGCTTCGGCGGCTTGCACTAGCGCTCGACGCCTACCTTGATACACCATGATGATGATTCAACGATTTTGACCACGTTGTGCTGCGAAAGACACGCACGAGTTTTTGTAAATGGTGCGTCTTCGTTGTATCTTGCATTTTGTATGGGTTCAGCCAGGATCAACCTAGGCCGGGCACAACGGTATAAATAAATGGAGTTTAAATTGTTGTCTATATCATTATAAATGCGTGGTATTATTCGTCGTATAGTCAAATTTGATTTTGGATACGTTTATGTCTGCGAATCATGCATGATCTGACGCATAGTATGGTCGTGCAGGTATTTGTCGTTGCGCCTTTGCATTGGACCAACCAACTTTGATCAACCACTGGTCAACAAGGCCAAAGCAACCTCATTAACTTCAAGGTCGCGGAACTGAACATGGACTTCCAGAAGCTCCCGCTCAAACAATTCCCGCAGGCGACGAGGACCGTCTCTCCTGAGAAGACGTACTGGTCGAAGCTCCGTGCGCCGCATGAGCTCAAACAAGTGGCGATGATCTCGAGCATCGAGGCCAACCCCGCGGCACCTCACGAATTCGCCGTGTCCACGTCGACCCGAGTGCAGTTGTACAGCACGGCGTCCAACGACATTGTGCGCACCTTCTCGCGGTTCAATGACGTCGTGTACAGCGCGTCGTTCCGCGGCGATGGTAAGTTGTTGGTCACAGGTAATGCCAACACACAAGTGTCCGTGTTGGACGTGGGCTCTCGCACGGTGCTTCGCATCATGAACGGCCACAAGGGAGCCGTCCGGTCGGCCAAGTTCTCCCGCGACCACGTGCACATCTTCTCTGCATCCGACGACAAGACGTGCCGCTTCTGGGACCTGGCCACGGGCACCCCGGTCGCGGTGATGGGCGACCACACAGACTACGTCCGCCATGCGGTGCAGCATCCATCTCCGTCGTCTCAAGTATGGGCCACAGCGTCATACGATCACACAGTGAAGCTGTGGGACATGCGCGCCACCCCTGGGAAGACGACGTTCTCGTCGACTCTATCCATGGACCACGGCGCACCCGTCGAAAAGTGTCTAATCCTGCCAGGCGGAAACCTCTTGTTGAGTGCCGGAGACAACACGATCAAGGTGTGGGACCTCCTCAGCGGCGGCAAGCTGCTGCATGAGTTCTCATCCCACCAGAAAACCATCACGAGCTTGACGCTGGACGGCACCAACACGCGCCTCGTGTCTGCGTCGCTCGACGGGCACGTCAAGATCTACGACCTTGCCTCGTATGAAGTGCTCCACGGGTTCAAGTACGGCGACGGCGTCCTCTCGGCGGCTCTCACCCCCACCAACTCGCACTTGGCCGTGGGGACTGTCTCGGGCATGCTGACCGTCCGCCGCCGCATCACGACCGACGACGTGCCCGCCACAGACGAACTCCCCGTCGTCCGCGGAGGCAGCTACAAGTACTTTTTGCGAGGAACTAAAGCCAAGCCCACAGACGCCGACCATATCATCACGTCCCGTCGCCATGCCAAGTGTGCGCCGTACGAGCAGGCGCTGCGGTCCTTCGACTACCGCAAGGCCCTGGACAACTCGCTCGACACGCGAAACCCCACGGTGATCGCGAGCATGTTGGAGGAGCTGCGGCTGCGACAGGGGTGGCAGAGTGCGCTGGCGTACCGCAACGAGGAGGCGCTGGAGCCGCTGCTGTCGTTCTGCATCCGATACGTGACCGACCCCAAGTACGCCGCCTTGTTGCTGCGGGTATGCACGTTCCTTCTCGAGCTGTACAGCCCCATGCTGGGGACGAACCAGTCTAGCGCCGTGTTAGAAGGGCTGTTCTTCAAGCTCAAAAACAGACTCAAGGAGGAGCAGGTGGTGCAGACGTCGCTGCTGCAAGTGATGGGCATGGTCGAGAGCATCATGACTGCGCAATCCACGGCCCACAGCCGCCACGCACCGGCGGTTGTGTCGGACGATCTGCCGCCTCTAAACACCCTCGGACACTAACACGAATATATACATAGACCACACCTATTTTCTGTGATAACGTTTCAACGTACTACATAGACCACACCTATGTTCTGTGATAACGTTTCAACGTTATTTAAAGTAGTACGCCCCACGATCGATTCGGTCGTCATGCCGCTTGGAAGGGAATTAGAATTCTCTTTTGGGTTGTTTTGAAGGTAACGTTATTAATATTTAGTTAGTATCAAAACAACGCAATATCAAGTTTGAGAGGTGCAAGCTGTAAAGGGTACTGTAATACGTATACATGTAGTACTGTATACACTGTAGTATTACTAGTAATAGATAGTAGCAATACTATTACTGTAATATGTTGAGAGATCTGGTAGGCGTGATTACAACATATTGTTGTGTTGATATATATATATATGACTATATGACTGTATATTATTTATGCCACTTACACATGAGACGACGATGGCGTCTTGTGCGGCGTGCGGGGGGTATGGGGTGCTGCTGCTGCTGGTTGCGCATAATGCTTGGGGTTGATCGTAACGCTCTTGGTGGTGTTGTTGGTTTTGTAAATGCCCACGAGGCGGTCGGCAAGCTCAAACATGTTGTTGCGCAGACTAATGATAATGAACTGCGCGTTCTTGGTGCGTTGCTTGATGTAGTTGGCCACAATCGACACGTTCTTAAAGTCTAACGCGGCGTCGATCTCGTCCATCACGTACAACGGCGTGGGTTTGTAGTGGTGCAATGCAAACACGAGCGCGAGTGACGCCAGTGTCTTTTCGCCGCCGCTGAGGTTGGAGATGTTCTTCCAGCTCTTCTTGGACGGACGCACCGAGAACACGATGCCCTCCGAGAACGGATCCAACGAGTCCACGAGCTCCAGCTCGGCGTCCCCGCCCAGCGTGATCATCTGATACATTTCCTTGAGCTTCAACGTGATCACTCGAAAACCCGCCATGAACTCGTCCAGCCGCAGCCGCCGCAGCTCTTCGTACGCGCGGCGCTGGCCATCGCGGGCCTCGGTGGCTTGTTCCAGGTCTTGCATCCGCAGCATGTGCTCCTTCTCCTTCTTCTTGTACTCGGCGATAGATCCCATGTTCACGTGCGCCTTGAGTTCGTCGCGCTGCTGCTCCAAGATGGAAATCTCGTACTTGAGTTGCTCCTTGTTGCACGACGCCAGCTCGGACGCGTCGATCGTCGGCAACCCTCTGGCGCGTTCTTTGTCATCATCAGACTGCGCGGCGTCCAGCAGCAGCTCAAAGTCCTCTTCGTCGCGCTCGTACTTGGTCAAGAGCTCGGTCAGTTTGGCCGTCCAGTACTTGACCTTTTGGTCGTTTTCCGCCACAAGCTTCTCGCACTCGTCCAGCTGACTCAGTAGATCTACCTCTGCCGACGCCAACCCATCCACCGTCTTCTTGAGCGTGTCGAACGCCTTGCGCTTATCGTCCAGAACGCTCGAGTGTTCCTCCAGCAACGCTTTGGCCGCCTCGTGCTTGTCGCACACGACCGCCGCGCTGTCTTCGATCTGCTTGTACTCGAGCCGGAGCTTCTCCAGCTTGGCGGTGTTGGCCACTTGGTCGTTTTCCATCTTCACTTGGGTCGCCACGGACTTTTCAAGAGCTTTCTTGGCGGCTTTCACGTCCACGCGGAGCTTGGTGAGCGCTTTCGTCTGGCTGTCAATGCTCTTGGTCAGGTCGTCCACTTTCTGCCGCTGTTTCTTGAGCGGCACGCCGCCGATGTTGAGAATCTTGTGCTTGAACTCGTCGACTTCGGCTTGCATCGAGTCGACCACAGCCTGCTTCTCGGCGCGGTCGGCGTCCAGCGTCTTGATCTGCTTTTCCAGTGCCTTGGCTCTCTTCACTTCGTCCGGGGTCAAGTGCACCTTCTTTTCCAACAGCTTGACCCGCGCCGCCAAACTCGACGCGCGCGAACTTGCGGCTTCGATCTCCATGGCCATCTTGGGCAGGCGTCGCGTATGGCCGTCGATCGTGTCCTCCAATCGGCGCACTTCTTGTTCAATCGTGGACCGCGCACTGCGAATGTTGTACAAAGTCGACTTGAGCGTTTCAGCTTCTTTCTGCAACGCGGCGAGGTCGTCGGATGAGATATTGCTCTGCAATTGACTCGACATGCCCCCTCGCCGGACGCGGTTGCCGCCTCCAGACATGGCGCCGCTGAGCTCAATCATCTGTCCGTCCAGCGTCACCACGCGGTACTTGGCGCTGCGGCCCTGGTATGCAATGCTCGTGGCTTCATCCAAGTGCTTGGCCACGAGCGTGTCCCGCAGCGCAAAGTAAAACGCCGGGCGGAACCTCTGGTCCGAGACGCGGACTAGGTCAAACAGACGCGGCACGGGCGCGTGGAACCTCGTGTCCGTGCACTTGTTGTGGAGGTACCCCATCTTTTCGAGAATGATAAACGTCGCGCGGCCGAGGTTGTGCTGCCGGAGGAATGCCACGCACTGCTGGGCGCCGTGGGTGGTCTCCACGACCAGGTTGTCCAGCGATCCACATGCAGTGGATATAGCCACGTCGTACTTGGCGTCGATCGCGCCGAGGTCGCCGAGTCGGCCGACTAGTCCGGCGTGTTCGAGCTCAAAACCGGGGCGTGCGGCGTTCATGAGGCTCTTGAGCATGCGATTTTGCGTCGCGTGGGACTGGATCGAGTGCGTGGCGTCGTCCGCTTTGGCCTTGGCGACCTGGTAGTCTTTGTTCACGGCCGCTTCCTGCGTCTGGGCTTCTACCAGCTCCGCCTTGGCCGCTTTCAGTCGCGTTTGCATCGTGTGCACTTCAGCTTCCATCGCCGTCGCTTGGGCTTGGACGTCCACGACCGATTTCTCTGCCGCCTTGATCGCTGCCTTGGACTGGGTCAAGTCCTCCTTGGCCTGCGTTGTGGACTCGCGCAGCAGCGCCATCTCCGTCTCCAACGTACCAATGCTCGCCCGCAGCGTGAGCACTTCCTGCGAAAACGGGAGCATCGCGCTCTGCTTTTCCTCCATGATCACGCGCAGCCGTGCCGACTCTTCCTTGTGGCTCTCAATCATGTCTTCGAGAGACTGTTCCGCCGTATGCAAATCGGTCTTGTCGTGCTCAAGACTCTCCTCGAGGCCGGGCTGCTTGGCTTCGTTGTCGGCAATCGTCGACTCCAAGTCGGCCTGTTTCTTTTGCTCCTTGGCATACACGGCGTCGTGGTCCTTCACTTTCTTCTTTGCAAACTTGATCTCTTCGCGCACTTGGACGTCTCGCTTTTCAAACTCGGCAAACTCGGCTTCCACCGTCTCCATGTCGGCCTTGACGGTCGCGTACGCAGCATGCACGTCGTCGTACTCGCCCTGCATAACCTCAAGCGCCTTGCGGTGCTCCGCCATGCGCGCCATCTCCGCGTCCACCTTGGCCTGCATGCCGTCGCGCTTGGTCTGGCACTCGGCCCGGTTGGACGTGGATTCGTGCACAAAGCACTGAAACATGACGTTCGTCTTGACGTACACGTCGCGCTCTTTCTCGAGGTACTCTTGCGCCTCGGCCTTGGCGTCTTCCAGGTTGCCCTTCTCCTTCTCGACCACTTTGACGCGGTTCAGCTTGTCCACGCGCGCTTCGTTGAGCGATTCGACCTGCTTGAGCGCTTCCTCGGTCGGCTCCACGTACTTGTTGGACCCGATGATGTCTTCCAAGTACTCGAGTAGTCCTTCGTCGTGGGGGTTGTCGGCCTTGCTTTTCATCATCGCGATCTGCTCCACTTCGCCCTGCAAGATCAGGAACCGGTTGTTATCAAGGTCGATGCCGCGCTGCCGCAGCAGTGTCGTGACTTCGGTGAACGTGGACGGTTGCCCGTCGAGAAAGTACTTGCTTTGGTTCGTGCTGTTCGCGGTGCGCGTGACGACCAGTTGCGACCCCGGCACGACCGAGTAGTCCTCGTCCCCATCGCCCGTGTCGACGATGTCCTGGAAGTACACGGACACCCGCGCTTCCTTTAAGTTTTGAAAGTTGGTGCTTTTGTGGATCAGCTCCGACACCTTGGACAGGCGCAGCTTCTTGGCGCGTTTCCCAAACACGAACAGCAGGGCATCGATGACGTTGCTCTTGCCACTGCCGTTGGGACCCACGACTGAACTGAAACACTTGTGGAAGGGACCGATTTCGCGCACCCCCGCATATGATTTAAAGTTCTCGACCGCCAATTTACTGATCATGAGGCGAGGAGTGTCCTTTTTTGGTTGTGATGGTTGTTGTGGAGTCGACACCACGGATGCTGACACACCAAACGGAGTGGCCAAGCTCGTTCGACTTACTGGTGTCGTTGGCGCTGGGGTCGATGGGACATCCACGGATTCCTCGGCGACTGTGGTGGGCTGAGCTCGACTCGGCGGTGTGGATGGAGGAGGAAGCTCTGTTCCGTGGCTCTCCATATCAACGTCTTCGCCTTCTGCATCATAATTCGACGGAGTGATGGGTTCAGTGCGTTCTTCCGCCATGGAAGTGTCCATCTCGACGTCGGCGCCATCGGGGGTGCTGCTCATGCTTCCGCAGTCTTTTGATTTGAAAAGCCCCGCTCATGGTATTTGAATTTGATTGGGTCACTTCAATATCCGGAAGGATTCGGATAAACCTTCGCTCTTGTGATAAATTCAAAATGGAGAGGAATGCCCCCCATCCACCATTCAATGGGACACAATTATTTTACATTTTCCACGACAAATATAATAGTTTTAGACCAAACCCTTGTGCTGTATTATGCTGAAATTCGATGTCAGAATAAAAATGCAAGCGATATTATTGCCAATTGTTTTAATTTGTCGGCGCGCCATCCTCATAATTCCACGATGTCCCGTTCTGTGAACTTTAACACCTCGCCCAGCGCCAACGCGACCGCCGTGAAGGCGCAGGTGGACGTGGACGCTCTGGACCAAAGCCTCATTGCGCTCTTGGAAGCTTATTTAGATGAACAAATTGCGACGAGTGTCGTGGACGAAGAAGCCAACATGACGCTGCTCAAGCTGTACTCGATTTACTCGACCCCAGTGGACCACCAGCTGCCCCGCGCGATTCAAATCCTGGCCAAGGGACTGACGGTCCTGCCGTCCAACTTCTTTTTGGGGGCGAGCTATTTGGTCTCGGAACCCTTGCGCAAGGTGCGATGACATGCAGATCATTCTTGCGTCAGGATGAGTGTTAAACGTCTCGTGTAGAACAAGGACATTGCAGAGCTCCTGCAAGCCGGCTCGTTGCTGCAAACGTGCCTGTTTCCTGCGTTCTGGCAATTGCCACTTGCGTCCGCGAAGAAAATCCCTGGATTTGACGCCGCTGTCCGCGAATACATCGTGTCGGCCATCGCCCGCAGCCACGACGTCGTCGCGGCCGCCTTTGTCGCGGAGCAACTGCACCTTGGTAGTAAGGAAGTCGAGGCGTTGGTCACAGGTACGAAGACTGATCTCTTGTCCTTGGTACATGCATTCACCGCATCCCTCATTTCTCGTGTAGCGCATGGATGGACCGTCCAAGGCGCGAGCTTTGTCGTGGCGGCGAACGCAGACAACCAGATGCGCCCCAAGAAGTTCAAAGAGGACATTGCGTTCACGGATTTGTTGGACACGATCAACGTCTTGTCTCGTTAAGTGTGGGAATCCATCCATCCCTCTCCATCGTTCTTACGTTCGTGCTTGTGCCACGAGTATTTTATAGCTAAACTAGCACACTCGCCTGGTGCATCGTGCCATACTAGGCATCACATCAAGACATCTCTATATACATATAATAGATATATATGTAAGTATAAACTGTTGGGTCTAGTTGTTGCATCCCATCAAGACATATATAATATATATATATATAAGAATATACTGTTCGTTCTAGTTGTTGCTATGGTATACTAGTATCAAGACAACTATATATACTTCGAAGTATATATATGTAAGTATAAACTGTTGGCTGTAGTTGTTGCATCACATCAAGACATATGTACATAATATATATATATATATAAGATTATACCGTTCGTTCTAGTTGTTGCTATGGTAGACATCTATATATATATATATATATACTTCGAAGTATATATATATATATGTAAGTATATATTGTTGGTTCTAGTTGTTGCATTACATCAAGACATATATATATATATATAAGAATATACTGTTCGTTCTACTGTAGTTGTTCCTATGGTAGACATCTATATATACATATATATACTTCGAAGTATATATATATGCAAGTATAAACTGTTGGGTCTAGTTGTTGCATCCCATCAAGACATATATATATATATAATGTATTTATGTATATAAGTATATACTGTTCGTTCTAGTTGTTAGTATAGTCGTTTACAGCGACTTGAGTTTGATCGGTTGAGGCGGCGGCCGTGGCGCCGAGTAGTTGGCATCCACTGGCTTTTCAAACACGACTCGGGACAGATGAAGTTTTTCGATGCGAAAGCCGACTTCGCACCAGTTGAGGTAATACTTGTACTTGCGGTAGACCGTGGGCGGCAATGTATGGCGCGCCGCGTCCAACTTGGCCGCCCACAGCATGAGCGTGTCGGCGTAGTCATGGGACCGGGTCTCTGTGAACACGCGCTTGAACTTGTGCTCCAGGAACGCTTCGTGCAGGAACTCCAAGTTCGGCACCTGCTGGCCGGGAAAGATGTGCGTGGTGACGAACGTTCCGAGGGGCGTGGGGGCGCGGGTACGGGCCACGGGGTTGTTGAATGCGTACGCGTGGATCACTTGCATGACGACGCGTCCGCCGGGCTTTAGTGCGCGGTGGCACGCGGCGGCAAAGTCGGCATAATGGGCGGCGGGCACAGCCTCGATCATCTCGACGGCGGTCACGGCGGCGTGGTCGTACGTGGCTGGGATGTCGCGGTAGTCCTGGAGGGCGAAGAGCGGGTCGCCGTACCTGGCGCGGGCCGCCGCGACCATACTCCGGCAGTTGCACAGCCCCGTGGCGAGGATCCCGCGCTGGCGCCCCGCATGTACGAGGTACCCCCACCCGGACCCGATGTCCATGAGTTTCTCGCCAGGCTTGGCTTGGGATAGCTCTAGAATGCGCTGCACTTTATGGCGCTGGGCGTCCGCCAGCGGGGCGTCGGGGGCTAAACCATCCCATGAGGCGCTGGTGTACACCATGTCCTCGCCCAGGAACGCCCGGAAGAGCGCGTCGCCGTCGTCGTAGTGCTCGGCGATGGAGTTGGCGCTCTGTGTGCGGTCCAGCGCGCCGAAGCGGAGGAGAAATGCAGCGCGGCGGAGGTAGAACGACGGCGTCATGTACGGGAGGACGAGGAGCAAGAGGTTGTCCTGAAGGTTGGCGGCGGCCAGCGTCGACAGGATCTGGACGAGGGTAGTGTGGGGCCCCACGGACCATTCGTTGCGCACGAACGCTTCGCCGAGCCCGAGTTCGCCATTGGATAATAGTGCTTCGAAGAACGCAAACGGTTGGTTCACAACGAGAACCGCGGCCGAAGGGGGGGCGACTTGTTCGGACTCGTGGGGCGTAGTGACCAAGACCTGGCCGTTCGTGGCGTACGAGAGGGCGGCGCGCATGCCGCGGATGACGACGCGGTCGCGCGCCGCTAAGAAGCCTTTGGACCGAGACAGGTACGCATATGCAGTGGATAGCGTGATCTGCACGCCGATCAAGAAGGTCAAGACGGGCCATGAGAAGAGCACGGGCTGCTCCCACACTAGATGTAGCACACCCACCAAGAGGACCATGCATATGTGGAGGTAGAACTCCCAGTTGGAGGATGGCGCCAGAAGTCCGTAGAGCAAATGGGTGGCCAGGAGGCCGTGCAGGGACTCGACGAGGGGGAACGCGGCGGGATTGAGCAGTGCCTCCGACGCCAAGTGGATGGCGGACGCGGCTTGGACGGCGGTGGCGACGGACCCGCAGACGTTGGACGTCGAGTGCCGACTCGTCCACAGGAACAACATGCTCATGTACGCGGCACAGAGGGGTGCCCAGTGGGGGAGAACGCTGTCGCATACCACAGCCATGCCCGCGTTCGCATAGCTCAGAAGGCGCATATACTGGAAGTGGTCTGGCGTGGCAAACAGTGACGTGGTTAGAGCTGCGACGGCGGCCACACCTCCATGGACACGGAGCGTCGAGTGAGTGGCTGCATTCGCAAATGCACACAGACCCACCAACACAGCCAGGATCGAGATCGGGAGCATCGCGCCGTGGTAGCGATGATGCACGGCCACCAACGGCCCAAGCAACGCAAACAGCAACGCCGACAGAACCAACCCTTGATGGTATTGAACTGCCGCCACCGCTCCAAACACAAGCACGGGTACGACCAGTAAGGGCGATGTAATCGACACCTTGGGCTGCGCTTCGTACGAGTACATCACGAGCCCGTTCACGACCAGTTTGACCGCTTCGATGTAGATTTGGATCACTGTACGCCAAGAACCCGTCTGAACCGTATGTGACGTGGTGTCGTCTACTTTCCAAGATGCTGTCATGATCACCGACTTCGACACTTGGTCCCGCAACGTTACAGTGATGCTAGACTTGCCCACGAGTTTGAACTCGTACTCGGACTGGCTAACGGCGATACCTGCCGCCGCCGACGATGGCGGTGCGTTGAATGGCGATACGTGCATGGCCTTGGGGTGGATGGCTGGGTCGAGCACGTCGTGGGGACCGACGCGCATCGCGTACAAGCATCGTTCGTTCCACGGGGTATTGTGCACTTCTAAGAGCAGCGCGGTGAGGGTTCCCGCTTCGTCATGGCAAAAGTAGGGCGTGATGGGATTGAAGCCAAGGCCGAGGTACCGCAGGTTAGCCACCGCTTCGATCTTGCCGAGTGGCCAGTAGTTGATTCGCGCGGCTAGCTCCCGACGGACGCACGTGTCGAGGGGTACGCTGGCATCGCCAAAGTGGTCGACCCGGCAAAAGTTGGCGGGTGGACTGCGCGTGTCGAATCGATACAAGTGCATGTCGTAGTTGATGGCGTACGCATGTTTTGATGGCGCGAACCGGCAGTGGTGGCTCCAGCCGACCACGGGCACGGCAGGCAGACCCGCCAAAGTTGGAAACTCCACGGGAATGTCCTCGCGACCGATGGCGCGGCGGGCGGCGATGATACCCGACACGGCTCCGTCTTCGTGGAACCCGTTTCGGAGCCACGCGCCGGCAAAGTAGACGTCGCCGTGACCTTGGAATTTCACTTCGTCCAATTGTCCTTGGTACGCCGCGGCGTTCATCACTGGATGGGCCAACTCGGTCTCGAAGAATGTACCCTCTGGCGTCGACGATGGGTTCAAGCTCAAGTACACAGACTGGTTGGCCAGCGTCTGCAGCCGTGAGATCCAGTACGTGACTTGGGGTCCCGCGGCAGGGGTGCTCGAGACATTCCATGCGGACCAGTCGGCCCTGACAGTCGGCATGCCCGCGCGGCTGCTGGTGTGGCACACGATACGCGACGAGTTGGTTTCAAACTGAGCTAACCACGCCCGCGTAGACGGCGGGGGTGCCAGGGCGGCGGCTTGCGGCGCACTGCAGGCCAGAATGAGGGCGTCATAAGGGATTTCCTCGCCGGATTCGAGAACCAGGTGCTTGGTGGTGGTGTCGATGCGGGCGGCGGGCGCGGACGTCCGGACGACGACGTGCGGACACATGTCGAGCACCTTCTGGACGTACGTTTCTGACCGCCCCGCGGGAGTTGTCCACTTCACCGTTTCCAAAGTGAGAAACATGTGGTGGTGCATGAACTTGAGCAGCGGCTGGATTGGGAAATCCATGGCGCCGTCCGCGGACGTGCTCCACACGGCAGAGATGAACGGCACGAGCCACTTGTCGACGAAGCGCTGGTTGAGTCCGGCGGCGAAGTCCCGCGTGCTGGTCGTGCGGGGAGTGTCGTCGGCGAGGAAGGCCAGACCCCGCGCGGCAAACTCCTTGTGCGCAATGACGAACTGCCACAGCCGCGGACGGAAGATGTTATCCAGCGTCCAGCTCCACGAACTTTGAAACGACCACGAATCCGACTCGTCAAACACGGAGAACGACATGTCAGACGGCTCGACGGCCGCGCCGACGTCCGAGAACAGTTTGATCAAGTTCGGGTACGTCAAATCGTTCATGACCATGAACCCAATGTCCATGCGCTCGCCCGTGGGCCCGTCGATCGTGTACGCATGGCCTCCGACGCGGTCGGCCGCTTCCACGAGCGTCACATGGCAGTCCGAGTACTTGGACAGCGTGCGGGCGGCAACGAGGCCCGTGACCCCCGAGCCAACAATGACAACGCGCTTCGGCACGACGTTTGCGGGGTCCACCATGAATGGGGGTGTTGAGGGAAGATTGAAAAGTGACGTGCTTGTGGAGTACTTGACACAAGATCGCGGGATCGAAGGGTTATGCCCAGTAAATCCCAACTTCGGGTGGGTACAATTAGTAGTACTACTTTGACAGGGATTTTGAATTGAAAAGATAGATAGATGCCTGCAACGGATTGTCGAGCGGTCCTCCATACAGTAAACGTTGCAACCCCATCGTCGCAGAGGCCGAGTGGACTGTAACCAATAGATGCACCACATTATGTACTTTATTGACTCAGTCTTACCCGTGATTAGCTGGACACCATTTACTACCGGTATGTACTGTACAGTAGAAGTATGTACTAGTAGTACATTGTGGTCTTACTTTTTGATGGTGAAATATACAGGCAGCTCTTGGGCAGTGTAAACTCAGCCAAAGGGGAAAACGGCTGCATCTATGCACACTCTCAGGACGTGTCCATAGCTAGTCAGGATTGTGATGACCCTATAGCAAAGTCGTTCGTTTACAGTGTTAGTGAGTTCTAGTATCATCAGTACCGCGGTAGTTGCCGTTGATTGGTCAAAATCGTCATGATAAAAACACGTGTGGGAAATACCATGAGCAGCATGGGATAAACTATGGTATCCCTGGAGATTTCCATCGAAGTCCCCTTCAACACGTCGAGTGCCATTTCATTGGTCGATGCGAATGCAAGCGAAGTCCAAGCTGCAGAATGCTCATGTAAGATTGATTACCTGTGGGACCTTCGAGCTCCGCCAATGCTATTTTAGTAACTAGCCTACACAAGTTCATGGAACCATGATGCTTCCACGGGTACTGATTGAACGATCAAAGGTCATGCTGACTTACTTTCAAAGGTAACATTTCGTAGGCGCACTCTACGTTCTTGCACTTGGCAGAGGCATCTTCCATCTTGGACTAGATTGCGAGAAAGGTTCACATCCTGTAGGCTCTGTCAAGCTCTATAAATGGTTTGCGCGTGATTTTTAACCGAGGGTTTGCCCAGAGCAAGTGCGTGGATGTCGTGTGCTACTCAGTGGCACACTGTATACTAGTACTACTACTAGTATGTACTACCTATACCGTATTGTGTATATGCATTGCGACAGGTGATATTTCACAACCAGCACACTAGTTCTCAAAATTATGTTAATCCATAGCGTCATACAAATTTGAAGTCTATTCGACATGTTCACAAGTAAATACTATGGTAGTAGTATCAGTTATTACAAGAAAATTATCAGTTATTACAAGGAGTCGCAATAGATTAATCCGTCGCAATGCATATACACTATACGGTAGTACGGAGTAGTAATACTTGGAAAGTATACAGTGCAATTTTGAATTAACAGTCTGAAATATTGAAATAACGTTATCGAAAGAAAACACAGCAAGAATACAATAGTACAAGCAAGTGTTGTTATCTTGGCGTTAAACACTGCATCTCTTATAAACACGTCGTCAAGCATGATGCGGTTGTACTGATGTCACAGTTAGCGCTACGGTACATATTCGTGTCCACCGAGTGCTCAACCAGCGTTCGATTTCTCGCGCGCTCTCTCCCAGGACTGTCGATATATTTATATTATGTTTCACAGGTTATCAATCTCAAGTACCTGTGGAAATGTATATCTGGTTTGACTGGCTTTGAGTATACTTGTCCTAAACACGCGTTGCGCGCGTGGAGGCACTCTTGGAAATTCTCTTCTCCTCAACATGGCCGACTACTCGAAATGGGACAAGCTCGAAGACTCGGACGACGAGGCCCAAGTCCAGACGAACCGCCCGCCCGCCGCTGCTGCCTCCTCGCCCGTGGTGCCCACCGCCTTGCAGCAGATGGAAGCGTTGCGAAACAAGGCCCAAATCCACATGGAGAAGGGTGAGTTTGCGCAAGGCTGCGTCATCTACAAGGACCTGCTGCAAGGTGCCGGAGCCGACACCCCCGCCGGCTTTATTGAGTCTTGCCGCATGAACTTATCCATTGCTTTGATCAAACTGGACCGCAACCTGGAAGTGATCCCCGTGCTGTCGGAAGTGCTGACTGCGAACCCGAAACTCGTCAAGGCGTTGCATTTTCGAGGTCATGCGTTCATGAGCGCAGGGTTCCTTGAAGAAGCCGAGAAGGATTTGAAAGCGGCAAAGACTGCGTTGCCCGACGACGAAGGCGTCGACGGTGATTTGGCGGCGTTGGAAGTCGCCAAGGTTGCTGACGTCCACCTCAAGGCTCTCATGGCCAAGGCGAACGAAACCTTCCAAGCCGGGGATCTGCAAGAAACGATTAAGAACTTTACGACTGCGTTGGCGGAAGCGGAGAAGGTCAAGCGTCGCGACGTGTGCGGCGCCATCTACGGCAGCCTCGGCATGGTGTACTTCAAGGACGAAAAGTTCCGCGAAGCGATTCCGCACTTTGTCAAAGCGTTGCAAGACCTGCCCAACCCCGAGCGCCGCATCGAATTCCTTGAAGGTTTGGCGGCGTGCCACACGTCCCTCGGCGAAGGCGAGATGTGCATCAAGGCGTTGGAAAGCGCCATCATGATCGGCGTCCAAGCCGGCGCGCCGGCCCCACGCATGGTCAAGCTGCTCCTGCACGCCGTGCGTTCGTGCGGCATGCTCAAGCTGACGGAACCGGGTATCAAGTACGCGACCAAAGCGCGCGAGATCGCGACGGCGGCCGAGCAGTGGGAAGTGGTGTTCCAGTGCAACGAGTGGATCGCCCGCCTTCACACGGAGAACGAAGACCCGGAATCCGCGCTCATTCACATCACAGAGGTACTATATATTGTCTATTTTGTACCCCACATTTGTACCACATATCTATCGATCGAGTATTCTTTGTATTGACTTTTGTATGTCAAAATGTGTGTACTCATTCGATGTTGAAGATTGAATTTGATTGGCTACTTGATGTTCGTGTTGTGGGTTTTGATTGGTCGATTGTCGTCTGCCTATATGGACAATATATAAAATATTGCGTAATTCACTACATTGGTGGATATAACTATCGACTAGGCGTTCCAAGAAGGGGTTGCGCGCACCGACTTGACGAGCTGCCTACAGCTCATGCACATTCAACTGCATGTGCTCAAGGTGACCGACCCGATGAAGCACATCAACTTGGTAGAGTCGACGCACGCATTCTTCAAGTCGCAGAACGAGGTCAAGGGGGTACTGGGGTGCCTGGAAGTGCTGCTTGTGTACAACATCAACCAGTTCAAGGCCGCTACCAACGACCACGACAACGACCCTGCCGCGTACTTGTCGGCGCTCGAAGATCTCTGGGGCCAACTCCGCGCGGTTCCATTCGCGCCCCTCGAGCACGAAGAAAAGTTTGGGGTGCTTAAGCTGCTCCAGCTGCATGCAGACTTTAACGTCGAGCACGACAGCAAGGACGCGTGCCGGAAGGTTCTTCATGAGGTGCTGGCGCTGGCCAACTCGATGGCGCCGATCCCGCCGCAGCACGTCATCGCAGAAGTGTACAAAAAGCTCACGGCATTGAGCGAAGACCCGGCCGAGCAGCTGGAAAACATCACGGCGGTCGAAAAGTCGCTTCGGCAATTCCAGATCGACGTCGATGCCCGCATCCAAAACGACCAAAAGAGCGAAATTTTGACCAAAATCGCCGGCGACATTGCCGACACGTTGTGCAACAAGGCGTTTGTCCAAGCCGAACAGGTACAAAACGATGAAAAAAAGGTGAAAAACACGCCAATATATCTTTGTAGGGGTTGATTGACGACGCGGAAAAGACCCTCGAGGAGACCTCGGCGCTGTGCGAAACCAACTCGATCCAGAACAGCCGCATCAACTGCCTGTCGCAGATCGCGCGGGGCATCTTGTGCCTAAAGAAGGGCAACCAGGATGGCGCCGAAGACAACTTCCGCAAGGGCGTGGCGCTGGCCGAAACAGTTAACGACGACGAAGTGCTCAAGCAGGTGCATGAACTGGTCAACGATGCCAAAGCCAAGGGCGGCATCCAGGTCACGACCAACACACCCGTGAAAGAAGCGGTCCAAGTCCCCAAGAAGGCGGCGGCGGCGGCATCAAAGCCCGCGACGCCCAAGACGTACCCCGGCACGGCGATCCGCAAGAAGGACGCGGCGGGCTTCGACCTCTCGGACCACATTCCCCTGCTTGTGTTTATTGCGTTCTTGGCCATCTTCTTCCACCTTGTGAGCCAATAGATAGAAGCACGAAACACAAGAAAGGAATGAATTGTATGTGTGACACTGTGCCAGAATGGTGGTTGGTTATTACGGACACTGTGCCAGATTGGTTGGTTATTACTGACATTGTGCCAGAGTGGTGGTTGGTTATTACTGACATTGTGCCAGAGTGGTTGGTTATTACAGACCCTGTGTCAGAATGGTTGGTTATTACAGACCCTGTGCCAGAATGGTTGGTTATTACTGACATTGTGCCAGAGTGGTTGGTTATTACAGACCCTGTGTCAGAATGGTTGGTTATTACAGACCCTGTGCCAGAATGGTTGGTTATTTCTGACATTGTGCCAGAGTGGTTGGTTATTACAGACCCTGTGCCAGAATGGTTGGTTATTACGGACCCTGTGCCAGAGTGGTGGTTGGTTATTACAGACCCTGTGCCAGAGTGGTGGTTGGTTATTACAACTCGACGTCGCGGGCATGTTCGGTGGCCAGCGCCTCCGCGGCAGCTGCGTCGTCAGGATGCTCGTCATCGTCATCTTCGTTGTCGGTGCTCTCTTCGTCGGACGAGTCGTCATCAGAGTTGTCGTCACCACTTCCTTCGTCTGTCGCGTGCTCTTGCTGGTCTATCGAAGACAACGACATACATATATGAGGGATAACGTTATGTGGTACTCTTGCACACAATCGATCGACCAATGAAAACCCAGAACACGAATCAAGTGTCAATTATGTACGAATGAACATCGAAATAGTGTGTGAATGAAATTAGTGTGACCCTGGACGACGTACCGACCACGAGCTTGAGGTGCAGTGCTTTCAAAAGGCTTGTGACCAACTGGTTGCTTGGTTCAAACCCAAGGACTAGGATGAGAGATGATAGTATCAGGGACATGGAGAGATTCGCGCACTCTGTTGAGCCAACTCGATGGCCAGTTCGGTTTCTTCATCTTCGAGCAACCCCAGAAACTATCAACGACAGTAAAAACCTGTACGCCACGTGTACGTAGCCACCGCACCTTGGTGATGAGGACAATAGGGGCCTTGCCTTCCGCCCATGCTCCATCCTTCTCGTCCGTCAGCTCAATTTCCGCATCGCGCAAGTCTAAGTATGACGTGACGAACTAGCCCCGTTATGAACTTACCAAGTGACGAACTAGCCCCGTTATGAACTTACCACTTGGGTCTTGCTCCGCTTTCACACCGCTCGTTTGGATCGCCTTGGTCGACACCACGCGCTGCATGTTGGTAGGACAGACAATTCACACTGTCAATAACGAAAGGTCACAATCCTTGTTAAGTTCGATTACGTCGATTAAGTTCGATTACGATTCAATACTAATGCCTAGATTGAATTTAGTATACTGAAGTACGATTGGTTGCGATGAAAATGATGGTCCTTTCAATTCTCGGAAAAAGATAAAGGGAGCATGGCTCGCGCAGTAAGGTGGTGCTCGACGGGCGTGACGGAAGAGCAAGTAGCAAATGCTGTTGTTCTGTGCGCAGCCATCACAAGCGACGACATACCCACCTTCCTCGAGTCAGATTCGTCCGCAGCATCTCTCTCTGATGGCCTATCTTCCCGTTCGCTCGTTGCGCTGGACGATTTTGTCCTCGTCGAATCAGAACTCAGTGTATTCTGCTGCATCAAGCCCACGTCCCTTCCCCAGCAGCTTCTCGACATGACCGAGCGGCAAACGACCTTTCGGTATGGCGGTCGCATCCACACAGCTCTCCACAAACGCGCGACACACATCCTGCACCTTCTCCAACGCCCACATGACCCCCAAACGAGGCAGTCCTTGCTCGACATCGTTCGTGACAAAGGCAAGACCCTCGTCTTATGTGGCCACGCAGCGACGGGAAGCACGGCGCACTTGTGCTTCCTAGCCCTGGTGTACTCCGCATTGCCGCGCGGGCTTCGACTGACGTTAGACGCCATCGACGACGCCCATCAGCGTGACGCATCCTCATCCTCCCCAGCCTGTCCCCCGAGCCTCAAAGCGCAGCGGGACCTCCTTCTTACCGAACTCTCCCTCCAAGACCTCGGCGTGCGGTCCATCGCGTTCGGGTCGCCCTGCATCAGCACCGCCGACGTGACGTCCGTGCTTCGTGCCACGTCCTTGACGCAGCACATGCTGACCGTTGTCAACGAATTCGACTGCGTGCCCAACATATTTGACATCGCGCAGACCGCCTCTCTAGTCTCGACGACCACCCGCCGCTTCGTCGAAGTGTCCCGCGCGCTCAAATTTGTGCTCACGCTGCTGCCCAACGTCGCCCGCGTCGTCGGCCAGTCCACTATGTCCGCTACGCCATCTTCTATGACTCAATTAGCGCTGTCGTATTACACCAACCAGACGTGGCAGCTGTTGCACAAAGCGTTTCGAACGTTCCAAACGCGTCTTGTACCCGACTCGGGGATGCAAGCATTGGGTCCGTGTGGCACGTACGCCTTCCTCGCCAAGGACAGCCTTGTTGTTACGTACATGGACGACCCGGACGCCGTCGCCGCCACCTTGCGCGCCGCCATGCAGGCCGTGTCCATGCATGCGCTCCGGCAGCATATCGTGCCCTCGTACGTGACCCACGTGTCCAAGCGGGTGGCGCAGGGCTGCAGCGCCGACATGAACCACTACGAGCGGCTTCACATCGCCCCCGACGCGTCGGCAAAGGACGTCCGGTCGGCGTACAAGACGCACGCGCTCAAGTGGCATCCGGACCGCTGGCCCACCGCTGCCGGACGGGACAAGGCCACCGTCCGATTCAAACTGCTTGCGGAAGCTCACGAGGTGCTGTCCGACCCCGAGGCCCGCGCCGCCTACGACAAGCGGTTAAAACAACAGCAGCAAGAGGGGAGTTCGTGGGGGGACGAGTTTTGGCAGCGGGGGACCGTGCGGGGCACGAGCTTGGACGACGCTTTGCGGGTGTTTTACATGGCCCAAGACAAGCTCGAGAGTCACTTGAGTGGCTTGTCGAGTCGCGGCGTGGTCGCGGTTCCCAAGGTGAACACCCCACCGCGGTTTCAACCCAACAACCACGACAACCTGTTTGCCGCCGACAAGATGCGAGTAGTTCGACCGGACAAGTCGGTCACGTACGTGACGGCGGAAGACATGCTCGCGACGGACCGCGCGGCGGGCACAAGAGGCGGGGGGGGGTTGGCGATGGCGGCGTCGGCTGTGGGAGGCGCGGTGGTGGTCGGGGCGGCGGTGGCCGTGGCGGTGCACGCGTGGACTACGTACAGCGACAGCGCGCGCCGACGCCGCCAAGCCGACGCGATCCGGCGCATGCCGTTTCCCATGCTCCAGCGTCTCTTGACGGATGCAGATGGGGGAGCATCGTCGGTGGCTTCAACGAGCCTACCGCCTTGCGAGCCTCGATCTCCACATCCTACAGACATAATCCATGGACATGATCATGAGATGGCAGTGGTACCTGCGAACAAATCCACGGAGATAGCCGCCTTGTTGGACGAGTTTTACGACTGCGTGGACGACGTGGGCTGGGCTGAGGTGCACGAAGAGGCCGAAGACGAGTACTTTGACTGCTTGGCCACGTTGGAGCCGGATCGGGATGAGGCGACAATGTTTCCGCGAGGCGCGTACGTGCTGACTCCGTTTGGGATCGGTACGGTGGTGGCTGATTTGAACGACGAAGCGTACTACTACGTGGTGGAGTTGGTGTCGGGCCAGTTGAGCTACGTCCAGCGGCACGACGTGGTGCGGGGCGCAGCCGCGATGGTGGCGCACAAGGAACGACAGATGGAGACGGTGCGCCGGCGGGTCGCCGACCACGTGGTGGTCGCGTATAGCTTGGAAACGGACGGCGCGACGACGTCGCTGGGGTCGATGGTCGCGGCGGGGACGGACGCGGCGGTGGACAGCGGCGTCAAGGCGGCCGGGGGGGTGGCGCTGGCGTCGGGACTGGAGCGCATGGTGCCTGGCTTGGGCCTGGCCGCCGCGCCGCTGACTGTCGCTGCCATCTTGGTTGACGTGGGCAAGGAGTACTTGGAGTTTCGTCAAAAGAAGTCGCTCACGTCGGCCAGCGAACGGCTGGCCATGCAGACGTTCTGGCTCAAAGCTGGCCACCACGTCGCCAGCGGATCGACTGCTGCCGCCGGGGCGACGATCGGACTGTATGGCGTCTCCTCCGCCGTCGGGTACTGGACGGGGGCGGCGGCAATGGGACCCGCGGGGCTCGTGGCAGCCACGGGGGCGGCGGTGGTCGGGGGTCTCTTGGGGTACGCCGCAGGGGCAAGTGTCTACGCGAACTCGACACGGGAGCACTTTACGAGTCTCCAACACGCTAGCGCCGAGATCGATCGGCTTGAAGTCGGCGCCAAGGTCCTCTTCACGCAGTTCGATCCCCTCGGTACAGGATACATCTCCACGTCGGACTGCAAACTGCTGGTTCAACAGCTGACTATGAGCCAAGTGGCAGAAGGTGGTGACGACGAAGGCCCACCTTCTGTGGAGGGCGGAGGGGGCGGCGTGTCGTGGGGGGTGTATTGGGAATGGGTCAGTGCCAAAGCAGTGGCGAAACTGAACACGTTGGAGCAGACTCGCTGCGACTCTACAAAGCATGGCCGTTGGTGGGATCGATACCAGCGCTATTTCAACTTTGCCAGCGCCCCTGCCGCGCTCCTCCCACCACCTCCATGTGACCCCTCCTGCCCCATGTACCCTAGTGTAATCAGAGCATTGGCATTCCACCCCCCAAGCAAACAAGTCAAGCCGAACAAGACTGCCGTGAATTCCATCGTGGAACTAGCCCAAGTCGACGCGCTGGTTGATTCCCACTCTCTATCGCCCGATGAAGCGTTCTGTCTCCAGCTGTACTTGCAATCGACGGACGAATCGACTCGACATCAAGCGCGCCAGACCATTCGAACGCTGACAAGGGACCTCGACCAGCACATGGAGCATTCAGGCGATGATGCGAGCCACGTTGTGATTTCGTCGGCGTTTTCGGCGGAAGACACGACTGGCCAAGAAGAGGATGAGGAGGCGACGGAGCAACTGGACGTGCTGTGCTCATTGCTGTCGAATCGGGGCCTCGGCAGACTGCTGGTGGACCACCGCGTCGACGTCCCCCCCGACACCCCACACGATCAGCTCCACGGTCTCGCCTTGACCCATTTGGCCCCTCGACACTAATCCCAATATATATATATTTATATTAATCCCAACAGATATATATTTATATATTTTTAAACTTGGGTGGGTACTAACTACTAGTTGTCCTAGTATATAACGTTGTTATGCAGTGTTTGTCATGACCACAAGTCGATTACTCGTCGTCGTCGTCGACATCGTCAATGTCGGCATCCGGTTCGAACTTGAGCAACCGCTTCCGCAATGCCTTGAGCGCGTCGTTCTTTTGGCCGACCATTTTCTTGAGCTGTTGGAACTGCTTGGTTTGCGTAATGTGCTGGTTCGCCTCTTTGGCACTGCGCTCGTAGTCTGCGATGATGTCACGGGACTCGCGGAGCTCCTTCTCGAGGGCGTCCACGTGCCGAGACGCGTGCGCCGCCTGTCGCAGCTCGTCCATGTCGTCCTGCGCGCGCTGCTTGTCCTTGGCCGCCTTGGCCACGTCCTTCTGGAGCTGCTCCACGCGAAGCCGAAGGCTGTGGTTGTCCTTCTCCAAGACTTCAAACTCTTCGTCGTGGTGCCGAGATGGTTTGGTCGGTTGTTTCTTGCCATCCGGTCGCCGCTCGTCGGCCGCCCACTCCGCCACCGACATACGCTCCACCTTCTCCAGCATGTCTACCAGCATGTTAGATGGTTCGGATGAAAGGCACATACCCTTGTCTTCTACAATGCCAGTATCCAACTCGATGTTGAGGCGCTGCTCATGATGATTAGAATCACCTGTGGGAATTGAACCAACGTACGTTGTCTTGAGCTTCGTGGAACACTTGGCGGAGGAGAAGGGCCGTCATGTTGATCGTGTCCTGCAATTCGCTTCTCGCATTGGCCTGTGAAATTGGGTTCCATCAGAAGACTACTACGTACATACATATACCTTGACTGCAAAACTCAGCGATTTCAGGACGTCCGTCACATCTTTCTGACTGTACACGTCATCGGATGAGAGTCTACCGCCCAGCATGATTAGTATGACGATGCCATTTATTTACGAAGCATGCCTGTCCGAGAGCGTGTCTTCGAATTCGGCGTCGATGTTCTCGATATGCGTTGCCAGCCGCGATCGAAAGAACTTGAGGAACTTGGAGATCTACGCTCAATGGATGTAATGCATGGCGAGCGAAGTAGGAAGGGCGCACCTCTTGCTGGTGGTGCGCGTTCAGACCTTTGCTCATGACTGTCGCGATCCTCAGGTCTCGATGTGGCGGCGGTTGCCAGTGAACTGTGACCCCTCAAGATAGTTTCGAGGATCCGGTAACCGGTTGTTTATCCAGATGATCCCGATATTTTTAGATCAATTGTAAGAAAAATAGCTGAAATGTTTGATTGGATATTTTCCAATTCGTACTCAATGATGTAGCCAATCAAATCCACAATAACGTAAACGGCCAATTCTTGCCCTCTTTCAGTTTTCAATGTCAAGTATTTTAATTATACCCAATCAAATACCTACGCGGCACAGAATCAGCCGTGATTGGCTGAAGTACTATTCGGCGCGAAACTCGCACAAATTATCCAGTGGAATTCAAGCACATCTGCAATTTCACTCATGACGGGCTACACACATGAGCAGCACGTCGAAGCAACCGAGCGCGCGTTGCAAGGAGAGCGACAAACAGATCTCAGTCGCATCTACAATGTGCCATACCGTACGCTAAAGCTCTACATCAAGAAGATGAGAGACACCGGCAGCATCGTTAATTGCAATGACCGGTACGATGAAAATAGACAATATTTAGTCCGATGGTACCTCCGCCGCAAGGTGGTCATAGTTTGAAGCTGGCGAAATGCTAGGGGATTATATGTGTTAGGGGTGAAGGATTAGCTTGGGGCCATAGGCAGAGCGAACGTTTTTGCTATTGGTAAATGTTTCTCCTTTTAAGGAGAAACATATTAAAATATAATTACCTGTAAGTTATTACTAGTATCAAAGTCAAAGTAGGTGCGGTTAGGTGTATATTAGCTTTGGCAATTGTTTTGAGCTCATATTAAAAATATTGTCCAACCCTCTCGTCACCCTTCAAACCCATACTGAAGTCAAGTTTAAAGAGGGCAAACAACTGGTCCGGCATATTTCAAAACTTTTGTGTTTGCTTCGGCATAACTACGTTAAAAATACTCCAAATTACGAGCAATTTAAAGACTAGATAGAGCGTTCTTTCCTCTACAACTGGATAACTTCAGATTTTTGTAATTTTGCTTAGACTATGAGATAACGCCAAAAAGCTAAGGGGTCGAAATGAGGGCAACAATTGGCTGTTTACGTTAAGAAAATACAATTTATATAGGATATCATTTGAAATTTGTATTCGTAGTATTACAGTACTTCGTACTTACAGTAGTCGGATATCATTTGAAGTTTGTATACATATCTCTGTACTGTATACTGTAGTCCGGTACCCTCCACCGTGAAACCGTCCTGTCGTTTCAACAAACACTTGTGATGCGCAATGAGGCGCGGCGACGGCCAAGCATGGCGCCAGACTCTCGACGAAGTAGCATCATGTCCTTCACAAATCAATCCACCGAGGACGATGCCATAACTACCGGTAGCCAGGAAACCAGTCGCCACACCATCTCCACTGAAACACGAGGCTTGGAGCCTTCCCCATCGGTGACACCAAGTTCCCGCCGTCGACATCTCCGTGCCGACGACCCTTCTCGCCGGCTCGACGACTACATGCACGTTCTCATCCGCCTAGATCCCTCTATATTGATGCCTTACGTATAGAGCCATGTCCAACCACCTCGTACGATGCGTCAAGAGAGGAAACCACTTGCATGACCACATTGATCACCAGGAGGGCCTCGCAGCCTCCCACCACACGTCCGTACATAGTTCCCTTCCATGTTCTATAACACATTCTCCTTTAGGTCGTCCGCATCGCTGGCGGCGGCGTGCGTGGAGCCCATTCATCAGCCTCCGCCTCGACTCAAAAGTACGCTTCATTGACATCGCCCTTCTCTAGTTCATATGTTTAGGACGAAGCGTTGGGTTCCAAGCGTGCATTAGCTTTCGTTCCACGACAGGTGCCCCCGTCAAGGCGTCCAGAGGGTCCTTGCGGGTAGGAGAAGGTCCAGCGTCTCGTTTTCGGGTGCTGCCAGGTCCGTGGTCGAGTTGTTCGTCGAGTGCGGAGGCGCTGACCCGGCACGATCGCGTGGCGTTGCAGCTCGTGTCGACCGACCCCGAGGACGCCGACGCTTTCCTCGCGTCTGCCCCCGCGCCACTCCATGGACGCGATGCGAAGATCGTAACTTTGACCGGGGCGGCGTGGGACGACGAGAAAAGAGATGAGTTTGCACCAACGGCCCATCTGTTTGCCGCGTTTGCGTGGGAGCTGCACCCAGTCCGGACAGACGAGCGGCTGCTGTGCGATGGCACGCGATTGCAACTCGTACAAGAGCACGGACAAGACGTGTTTGAGGTGGTGGCGTCCGTAGGCCCCCAGGACTTGACGATGCGTCGCCGGATTCCGTCGAAAACAATGCACGGCACCAAGAAGTCCCCGACCACAGGAGGATTGACGGTGGTGTTGAAACTGCATGACACGGATCAGAACAAGTCAAACAATCGACAACAAGGACCGACACGACTGCCGCCAGAGAAGCGCAAGCCGTGGCTCGTGGAAGCATTGGCGAATCTGAAAGACCAAGTGGCGAACAATGAACAGGCCAAGCAAGCGTTCCATCGAGACATGCAAAAGAACATGGCGGCGTACGCGGCGTCGCATTCCCTTGACACGGCGCGCGAGGAGGCGGCGTCCGAAGACTACTACGGCCGCAAACTCAAGACAAAACCCAAGGTCAAGCTCCGGTCGAAATCCGTCTTGGCGTTTGTGCAGACTTTTCACCGCATCAAACAGCACCACAGTCGACGGGACGGGTCGCCACCGCCGGAACTGACAGACAGAGACAGGCTGCGACTCATGCAGTGCTACAACCCCCAAGTGTATGGCAGAGTGGGAAACCCCGCCGTGCTGTCCAAGTCGTCGAGGTCGATGAAAACGCTGGTGGATGGCATGGAAAGGATCGGAGAAGCCCCGCCCACGCCATTGCTAGCGTCGTCATCCGCGTCCACGGGTGTTCTACTGCGACCAAAGTCCAGTCAAGCCAAGAGCAGCAGCACCTACAACGCAAGGAAACAAGTCCACAGCAGCGCCAGAGTACTTCCCACAACCACGTCCATAATGCGACCGAGGACCGCGCCGTCGACTTATGCCCAGTCGTCGTCAAAGGCAGGCAGAACCGTTTGACACGAGTGGTTGGCGTCGGTCACTTGGAACAGCTGCGTCCCCAGAAGCAGCGGAAACGGATACGGCCCAGCAAGCGACAAGATGTGGAACGGCGCGTAAAGCGTAATAAGGACGTGATCATGCAGTTGGGCGAGGGCCGATTTGGCAAACACGGCGTCCACAACTACATTCGGGCGAATGGGGAGCAATGGGGGAAGGGGGGGAGGGGACGACGGCTGCTCCACGGACGCCGACACGTCGTGGATGTACGCGGTGAAGACGACGAAGTCTGCATGGAGGCGCGTTCGTAGCAAGCAGAGCGTGATGGACGGGCGGGACTGAGGCGTGTCCACCATACTCGACGTGGACAGGGCTTGGTGCTATGCAGAAAATATGGCATTTAGTATTACTTGAAGATGGACGAATCGGTTGTTTCGTAGTACGTACGGCGTTGGTGTGGAAGAGAGTGGCGTCGCGACTGGCTTTGCGAGAAGCACGTTGAAGGACGTCGCCAATGTCGCCTGGAATCGACACGTCGCTCAGACGTTTGCGGCGTTTTTCTTTGGGAGGTACGTGGAACGGAAGTTCGCGCTGCGATGTTCCAAGCTAGATACAAAGTTGTGGTGTGAGTGGGGTGAACATGTGTGAACATGGGAGGAAGTGTAGATACGACAGCATGTACGTACCATCGTCTCTGACGCAACGTGACCTGCGTCTTCGATGTCTTCGTTGCGAGGTTGGGAACGGGATGTCTAGTACAACGATGAACACATAGCCGTGACAAAGGTGAACGTACGTCGGGCATACGGTCGACGCCTCCAGCAGTAGCTTGTCGTAGCATGTCCGCCATGGATCTTCGCAATGGAGTCGACGCATGCGGCGGAGGAGTTGACCTAGCGAGGGATGAGGATCGGCAAAACATGTCTCGCAAGTGCACATACCGAAGCAAAGTGGTAGGTGGAAGGCGTTTCGAAGCAGTTGTTCGTGCCGTCCTTTTGGGTAGAGATTGGAGTGGAGGGGTCTTGAGCCAGTGCGACGGACGATCGAACGCGGCTTCAAACGATTGGGTTGCATGTACTTTCTGTGGGGTTGATTTGACTGGAAGTTGTCGGATGCGTCCTTGCGACGGTCCAATCGTCGTAGACGTGGACGCGATGCCACGAAGAATGGATGCGGCGACATTTTGTGAACGTGGAATCGAAGCTGTTGTACCAACCATAGAACGATGTGTTGACGGCGATCTCGGAGGTGGCGACGAGGTTGGGATGGGTTCGTCCGGGATCGCCACATGAGGCTCAAACTGCAAAATCGACGCAAACCCATCTTCGTCATCGTCTTCACTGTCTTCGCCTTTTGCTGGAGAAATACGTTACAAGGAGTGTCGTCTTATACATCCATCATACCTAGGAACGCCGCGGTTATCGAGTTCCTTGGAGCTGAGGTGGGAGTCACGACATGCGTCGAGGTGTCAGCGGCGGTCGTGTCCTTGCCTTGCTTGGCGGACTTGGCCTTGGCTTTCTGTAGGGACTTGGTGAGCTTCGAGTTGCCGTCTGCATGGATGTCGTACGTCACTTCGTCCTCGTCCGACATGTTCCCAACCAGCGCCAATTGAAAATGCGCGCAAATTCCTCGCATTCAAACAATTTCCGGATAATGCGACTAGTATCCGGCGCGCGATTTCAAGCGCCTGATATAGACTTCCACATCTCAACTCGACACCAACGACGACGCTACCATGAAGACGCGCATGGCCATCGATGATATCAGTGCCATGGTCGGCTCCATCCAGAAGAACGTCGTGAACATGCGTGTGACAAACATCTACGACGCAGAGGTGAACAAGACGTACATCCTCAAGCTAGCGACCCCCGGCCTGCCGAAGGTGTTCCTGTTGCTGCAGTCCGGCATCCGCTTCCACACGACCGCGTATGCACGCGAGACGGCGAGTGCGCTGCCGCTTCAATTCACCATGAAGCTCCGCAAGCACCTTCGAGGTAAACGTCTGGCTAGCGTCACGCAATGTGGGTCGGACCGCGTGATTGACTTTTGCTTTGGCGACGGCGACCAGCGCCACCACTTGATCCTGGAACTGTACGCGGCGGGAAACATCATCTTGACGGACCACGCGTACACGATCCTGTCCCTTCTGCGCACCCACGCGTACGATGATCAGGTCAAAGTCGCCGTGAAGCAGCAGTACCCCCTCGACAATGACTTGGTGGTCGGCAACATTGGCGGCACGTCGTCACAGTTCTCGTCCGGTGCCGACTTGATGTTGTTTGTCCAGCGATACGTGCAAGAGGCCGCGTCCAAGGAGAAGAGCAAGAAGCAGTACTCGCTCAAGCAGATCCTCTTGAGCAAAGAGTCTGGATATGGGAACTTTGGCCCGACGATCGTCGAGCACTGCATGGTAGAGGCTGGCATCCTTCCGTCGCTCAAGGTCAAGACCGCCACGTCCCATGTCCACGTGCCGCTCTCCAAGGCGGAAGCGCAAGCTCTTGTGGACAGCCTTCAGTCGGCGCCGACGTTGCTGGAGGAACTGAGCTCAACCCAAGTCGCCGTGCATGCTACCGACGTCGCCGACGATACCTCTCGCCGCCATGGGTTTATTGTGGTCGATGGAGCTGGCCACTTTGAAGAGTTCACCCCATACTTGTATGCGCAGCACCGCGGCAAACCTATCGTGGAATTCCACACGTTTGACCAAGCCGTGGACGAATACTTTTCGAAAATCGAAGCGCAAGCCGTGGACGCCGAGAAAAAGCAAGCCGCGCACGTGGCCGAGACCAAAGTGGACAAGCTCAAGAAGCACCAGCTGGAGCAGATGGAAGCATTCGAGCGGACGCAGCAGGTCGCGGCTGCCCACGCTTCCTTGGTAGAGCAGAACCAGCACGACATTGAAAACGTGCTGCTGGTTGTGCGCAGTGCGCTAGCGACCGGTATGGACTGGAACGATCTGGACGACTTGATCAAGCAGGAGCAGCACAACGGCAACCCCGTCGCGACGCTCATCCATAAGCTAGATCTGAGCCAGAACCGGCTGTCCGTGCTACTGTGTGACCAAGAAGCCGAGGACGATGCGGTCGCCCACTGCATCTCGATCGACCTGTCGCTGTCCGCGCTGGCTAATGCGCGGGAGCTGTACTCGAAGAAGAAGTCGGCGGTGAAGAAAGCGCTCAAGGCCATCGACGCCACCGACTTGGCCATCCAGCAAGCTGTCAAGAAGCACGACAAGAAGCAAGCACAGCAGCAACTCCAGCGAAAGACCATGTACCAGCGCCGCAAAACCATGTGGTTTGAAAAGTTTCACTGGTTTATCACCCGGGAACAGTACCTGGTCTTGGCCGGCAAAGACATGCAGCAAAATGAAACCCTCGTCAAGCGCTATTTGCGCAATGGCGACGTTTACGTCCACGCCGATTTGCATGGCGCAGGTATATATATATATATATTGTCTTTTTACCCAATATTTGGTTGATTTTGGGGCTGATTCTTTGCCAAATCTGTCGATCGATTGTTTGCATCATCTGACTTTTGTATGTAAAGATCGTCCAGTATCACACTAATTTCATTCACACAGCGATGCTGAATTGGTCCAAGAGTGGATTTGATTGGTCGTTGGATTCGTGTTGTGGTTTTTGATTGGTCGATATATCGATTTGGTGCGGCTCATTCGATTGAGCACTCTAATTTAGAATCGACTTGACAATATATATATAGATTGATATTTTTCTACTTTTGGACGACGTGGGAGTTAACATGGATGATAGCTACGTGCATCGTGCGCAACAAAGTGTCGGGCGGAAACATCCCGGCGTCGGTGCTCGAGCAAGCGGGGTGTATGAGTGTATGTCGCAGCAATGCATGGACGAATCAGGTGGTGGCGGGGTCATACTGGGTTCACGCGGATCAAGTGTCCAAGACTGCCCCCACGGGGGAGTACTTGACCACTGGCAGCTTTATGATCCGCGGCAAGAAGAATTTCATTCCCGCGTCCAGGCTCGAGATGGGGCTCGCCATCGTGTTCCGCATCGATGAAAGCTCTGTGCGAAACCATATTGGTGATGATCAAGGTAACAACGGTGATATATATATGAGATACGGAGCATGTGACAGGGACTCGGAGTTGATTGTTTGACGTCGTGTGATTGGGCTTTACAGTCAAATGTTGCCTATATTTTGGGGGATGGACGATGAAATCGCCGACTAATCGAGCAAACGAGTATGATTGGCTACAAAGAATGAAGATTGCAATTTTTGATTGGCTAAAAACATTGATTGTAGTATTGCAGTGACACAAAGATACCTCTTCAACTTTGTTTTATATGAAATGTCGAAGGTCCGGCGAACAATTGTGTTTGGCGGTTGATTTTCAACCCTCCGCCAGAGGAAAGTAGAACACGCCACAATATGAATATGAAAGTATGTGACAGGGTTATTGGGGCCAGAGGAGGAGAACGACGACGACGACGACGTGACTGCAAAGGAAGTGCTGGCGAGACAACGGGACATGAAACAAGAAGCATTTGGGGAAGTATCAGAAGACAGCATTCCTGCTGCTGTAGTCGAAGGAGATCAGGACGGTGATGCAGTTGGCCATGACGATGTTGTTGCTAAAGAAGAAGAAGAGAGGACGAAGGAGGACGTCAAGACATTTGACCACCATCACGTCGCAGATGATAGGATGGAGTCTATCCTGGACGAACAAGAAGAGACTGTTGGTCCAGGGAAAGCAAAGCCTGGTAATGGCAAGAAGACCCTCAGTGCCAAGGAACGTCGGGACTTGAAGAAGAAGAAAGGAACAGCTGCGGACAAAGTGGAACTACCGGAGACGATGGCGGCGCCTGTGGCCAAAGCCCCCCCGGCACCCGTCCGCGGCAAGCAAGGCAAGCTCAAGAAGATCAAGAAGAAGTACGCCGACCAAGATGACGAAGAGCGACGGCTGCGCATGGCCGCGCTCGGACACGCCGTCATCGCCCCACCGGTACGACTTGAGATTCACTGGTCGTCAATTGTGCATTCACCCTGTTTCATATTTGATCACGTTTTGTGAAATATTGGTCACGTTTTGTGAATATTGGTCTCGTTTTGTGAATATTGGTCTCGTTTTGTGAATATTGGTCTCGTTTTGTGAAACAATTAACAAACGTTTTTGATTGGTAGGACGAGCGCACCAGTGTGGCGGGAGACGAGATCGTCATGGAAGAAGATGATAGCTGCACAGCCAACGACGGCGACGCAACTGGTCTTTCCACAGGTACAAACATATTTCATGCTATTACTCGTAACTGTATATATTGGTATGGATGATATATATATATGACGGTAGTAGGAATACCTGCAATCGACCAAGAAAAGGAAGCGTTGTACCAGCGTCAACGCGAACGCAAGGCGCAACTGCTAGAGCAAGAAGAAGAGGAGGCGCAGAATGCCACGTTTCTCGACACGTTCACGGGCACTCCGATGGCGAACGACCTGCTGCTGTTTGCCATGCCCATGTGCGCGCCGTACTCGACGCTCGAGCGGTACACGTACAAAGTCAAGCTCACCCCCGGAACGCAAAAGAAGGGCAAAGCCGTGACATTTGCTGTCGATCACTTCCTGAAACTGAAACCCAAACCGACGACGACCAACGGTACTACTGAAGCCCCGGCAACCGCCAAAGAACAAGGCGGCGGCGGCGAGAAGAAGGGGGGAGAGGACGGAGGTGCGGCCGGCGCCCCCGATGTCGACCCCCTGGAGGCGCAGAAGGAGCTCATCAAGTGCGTGCCCGAAGCCGACCTCGTCGGGTGCATCGTCGGGCCTGTCAAGGTATCTGCGCCTGGACTCAACTCGGCTACGATGAAAAAATCCTCTTCGAAACCCAAAAAAGCCCACAAGAACAAATCCACCAAATAAACCCACTTTATATATATATATATACTCTGGGGAAGAATCCCAATGTGTGGTTTTCATCGGGAAGAATCCCACTGCGGTGGGGTGTTAATCGAGGGTGGGGGGACGTTGCCCATGCCAGTTGACGGAAATCCCGGGCCATTTGGTCTGGAGCACGTCTTCGATGGGGCACCCGTGGCCGCCGGTCGTGTGGGTGGTGTCCACCATGGGGACGGAATACCCCACGCGGTTCTTGGTGGGAATGGTGGCCTCGAATTGCACGCAACGGGGAAATTTCCCCGCGCTGGCTTTCGACGCATCCACGAGACCGTTGACATGGTACAATACCACTTGCTTGACCTGTTCTTGTTCGTCGTCTAGTGTCGCCCATCGATCCTCCACACTGGCGGTGTCGACGTCGTCCGGGATCGCAGTACTACTACTAGTAGTAGTACTAGTCGGGTCGGCATCGAACTGCGCCTGGAGTGCCCTGGCAACGTCCGAGTCGGATCGAGGTCGACTCGATCCTTCCTTGCGCTTTCCATCAAGCGCTTGCTGCAAGTCGTTCGTGTCGAGTAAGATGGACACGACGCGCCAAAAGTCTTCCCAGAGGACGATCCCGGCGCCAGGCACTTGGAGTTTGGAATACAATCGACCTAGCTGGAACTCATTGGCGAGGATCGCAGGGTCCACATGGAGCTTGGCGAGGACTTGTCCCAGGGCGTCGATGGGAATGTACCCATTTCCCATCGTATCGAACGACTGAAACGCGCGCTGTACCGTGGCCAGCAGCGCGTCCGACGCCGACTCTGTGCACAGCGACGCGTCGGTTGCAAACAGCACGGTGAAGTGGCTCGTGCTGCCCAACACCCACACGGGGAAGATGGGAGATTTGAGAAAAGTTCCCACGGTGCAGTACCGCAACGCTTCCAGATGCGTTAGGTACCCGACTTGCGCTCGGGACTGGACGCCGCGGAGTACGAGGCCGGAATCCCCCATCGGCACGACGCCGTCAAACACGTTGGACGTTGCGCGGCCGGTGAGCATGAGGTTGAGCAGTTCCTGCGACCCGTGGCCGAACTGGCCGCTCGTGAGACTCGACTCGACGTCGTCCATGTCGTCTTGAAGGCGAGACACGCCCCGCGTCAACATGAGACTGTATACGAAGCTCAGCACCCCTCGCTTGGGGTGGACGAGGAACGACAACACGCGAGAGGGAAGGTCTGCGCGGGGAACGTCGAATGGCGAGAAGGAATCGCTGGATGGAGAAACTTGAGTCGCGTCGATAAGCCAGATCTTGTCGCTGGGAGACTCTGTTGCTTGTACGAGCACGTCGGCGAGCACATTTGCGAGAAGCAAATCGCGGTCGGGAATGGTCAATTTGGCGTCGATGTTGCCACCCAAGCGAGCAAGAAGCAGTGCCTACATGGATGTGAGATACGTGATTGACCTGATTGCAAGGAGTGTACATATACCTGCACCGGCGCAAACACACCGCAAGGCCCACCATGCTGTTGTTGCAGTGCCCAGGATGGGGCTGCCTCGATCGGGGAGAAGTTGAAGTCTACCAGTTTTCAATGGTCAATCATGCACATGGAGCTAAGACACACGATTGCCTTCTAGCTTCCATCGAGCCTCTACTTCGCTCTCGAATACCGCCGCGGCAGGGCCCCACATGAGCTGACGCAGCGCCTGTGCCATGTCAATATGATCGTCCGTGGAATATTACCCTCTGAATTCTCGACTTCGAAGTCTAATTTAACCATTTAACGAATAATATGCAATTATTGGTATATTTAGAGCGGACACTTGGACGTGTGAAATAATATTATACGGATAACAGACTGCATCAACCCTAACATTTAATACATTGAGTGGCGCGAGCTCAAGCTTTGCCTGAGTTCTTCGAAGTCGGCTACGGACGCCATGGACTTGCGGGTAGCCATAGATTCAGCCTCCCTTCGCGCAGCGCTGGCCGCTTCTGCAAATGCCGCCGCGGCTCGTCTGGCTCGAACATGGGGCGAAGGAACTGCCGGCGGTAGGTCGCTCGACTTGGCTTCGATTGCCACTGACGTCACGGTATCTGCATACGAAGACACGAGGTGGGCATGTTCCTGATGCTTTAGTTGGTGGGAGGGGAACGAGATGATCCACTTGGACGAAGGCAGTGCTGTCGTAATGGTCGGCCCACCGCCGTACGTTTTCACCAGACTCAACCATTCACGTTCGTCCACGAATGAGTAGTCTTGAGATCGAACTGTGGGGTTTGGCCTCAACTTGCCTTCGAAGAACGAGACCAAAGTATGGTTTGAGATCGGCCCGATACATGCCTTGTCCTTGGCAAGGTGTCCACTGTACCATGCTGACGAGACAATGTACACAGAAGACGAGGGGCTCGGTTCTGTTGGTTCTGCGGTGGCGGAGGCCGAGATAGAAGCATTGCTCGTGGATGGGTTGGCCGAGCCCTTCACAGGGGCGGACTTGCTTCGATGAAAGAGGGGAATAGCCGAGACCGTGAGCTTCACTCGCGAGTCACCGATATCCATGAGCTGGCGCAGCGTGGAGGAGCAGGTCGTACAAGTCCGCTCGAGCTTCGCATAGGACCCCAAGCTTGGCTTCCGCACGAACGAACGTGCGTAGGAGCATGCATTGCACACGAGGTTGCCGCAGAGTCGGCAATGATGACGGCGTCGGCGAAACACTCCAAATGCGTCGGTGCACACGGAGCAGAGACGACTGGACGCATTGGGTTTCCATGGAACGTCAAAGATGCTGGAGGTGGACGAAGTGCTTGTCAGCCTGGGCTTCCCAACTGGAAATCGACCATTCTGGTGGGCTAGTTCGGCTGCTTCCGTCGGCGGTAGGAACCGCAGCTCGTAAACGTCACAGAAAGCCCCCCGCATGCTCAGTTGGAAGAGACTGGTTCGACGGATATTTGTCACTGCCATTCATGACAAGCGCATGAAGAAGCAGGGAGAAAAGATCCAGAACGTCATTGCCAAGAATTCGCCATGTCGTACCATTTTGCGAATTACGTGCGAAATCATCGAAAAAACACCGAAACCAGGAACGGGGCGATTTCATTGGTAGATATTGTCCAGCACCCAAGTTTCAACACCTTGCATTCACAACAGAATATGTCATCAATCGAACATCAGCAAGAAACCCATGACCACTTGACTTGCTGTTGTTGTACTTTCATAGTTCTACACGGTTTGATGTGCTCAAATGGGTTGATATCTCCTTCCAAGTGAGCTTGGTGAAGGTGCCCAGTGCTAGCCAATTATATCATAGAGATTACTATTGGGACGAATTTGAGTGCTTTTTGGAGCTAAACCATGGAACCGACATACGTAGGACACAAGGGACGGAAGACATATCTTATTAAACATAGTATACACAGAGTACAGAGTTGAGTACCAACTGACCACCACGACGATGCAAATATATCGTACTACCTTTGGTAGTAGTATTTAAAATTGTATGTATAGTAGTTCGTTACGCGTCGCCATTCCTCCTTGATTCTCATCAGAACCCCTTACAACTCCTGAGACATTGCAAAACGAACCAACGTTCTTGGCGGCCAACTGGTCGATGGAAATTTTAGAGCATCGTCGCGGTCAGCCTGTCGCCTTGAGCGTGTACACTTGGGCTCAAGCAGAACGAACTCTCAGACCAATAATGAACTGTTGACACTAGTCATGTACTCCGGAGTCGCGAGCTTCGATTCCGTGCGTTGAGGCCACCTGGTTTGGCAGAGAACTCGGTCGTGATCAGGAACTCTGGCGTGATCATGTGTGTAATCTGTGCAATCCTTGTCAATACCACACGTTTCAAACGTTCATATCCAATAGTACGTAGTAGTAATACGCCATACTATTAATAGTACTACAGTACTGTAGTAGGTATCGTGCGTATTGCTGCGAGTGTCAAATCAACACTACCCATATGTGCTGGTACAGTAGTATATAATTCTAGTATATATTTTACGTGATGTACTAGTAGGTTGATTTGAAGCCTAAGTTACGAGGCAACGACATGGCTGGGTCGAGTGCCGTTGGTGGGGCTGTTGCAGTGCTTGTGGATGTGCTGCTTGCTGGGCTGACTAAATATCGTTTTCGCACATTCGTGGCCTAGAACTTAGTATGTTTTCAAGTAATTGTGATGTCCAACGGTGTGGTTATATACCGTTTAGTCTTGGGTTTTGTAACGAGGGAACGGCGGTGTTGCGATTTACTGACTGGGAGATGCAGGAAATGAGCGAAAACTCACAATTATTTCGCAGTAAGTCTGTCCTTCATGCAACATGCTAAGGTTACTTCAAAATGTTCACTTCATACGTGAGAACACGAGGATGTTGGGATGCAAGTGCAGCGGTGGTGTACTAGTATACCGGTTTGCCACATCTCTCACAAGTTGTTTTGGAACAATACCTGAGTCTCAAATGCATGTTGTTTATATAGAACTTTGTATTGTTTAGTTTTATATGGTTTTGAACGTTACTAAGAGCCCCATTTGACTTTGGATTGGCGGAATTTTTCTAACTTTTCGTTTTACTGCACTCGAATTGGCTTATCAAACGGCGCGGATTCGCGTTAAGAGCTCGGATTTCACAATTTCCAAATGCCCATTCTTGGTACCATGTGCATGCAAACCAACTCAACTGGCCACCATCCCCCGTCTTCGTACACTAACTGCCTTGTACATGTACAACTGACGAATACGTATCAGAAGCCACCTGACAGACAGAAATACACCCAAAACTATTCACTTCCCACTCCCATCAAGCTCCGTCCATATATAGTAATACGCTAAATATCATTAACCACGGCGGCTTATCCCTCCCCATTTAGTGGAGTTTGAGCATCTTTACAGTAAGCTTACTACGCCATGCAATTCCTTTCGTCGGGGCGCTACAGCACTTAGTGACGTTGGCCACACAGACTGAATGGTGGGAAACGTGAGTAGGTTGTACCTTGTACGGCAGTTGGAGTGCCAGAAATACATCCTTTTCATCTCGACAGATCACGTTCGGCCCTTGCTTTAGCTTCTTCACGCCTTTCGACCGCGTTGCCTTGTACAGTCCCTTGTCTGTCAAGCTGTAGCCCTATACATAGATGAACCATTTATTACATGTTATGAAAATGATCATTCATTTATCCTCACTTTCATCTTGGCAAATGCACGCATGCTTCGATTAAAGTGGTCGCTGCCTGTAAAGTACAACTGCGCAAACCCAAACAAGTTCCGAGGGTACACCTTGATATCGATGCGGCGGTACCGCCTGCCCTACCCGCCATCAAATATAATAAGTAATATTTCCATTTCGCGTCCTATGGATTCAATATATACATATGATAATAAATAATATTTCCATTTCGCGTCCTATGGATTCAATAGTACATATATATAGATAGATAGATACCTCTCCCAGACGACACACGCCCATGTACGAATCGCTTCCCCCAATCTTATGCTCCTCCACGGTGGTCAAGTCGTCTACACGGGCACACACTTTTGAAACCATATCTCATACACAAATGTGATACAGTACGTCCATATACCTGTGAGAAAGCCGATCGCGTGGAGATCCGCGAGCAATCCTATGTCGATATGCCATCACAACATATATATATATATATCTTACGTGGCATAATATTGCAGTCGTCTTGCGTTGGGTCAGATATTAGTACATCGACGTCCCCAGACTGCGATTTTCCCCGTCGGTACGACCCGCACGTGATAGCCACGGCCCTGGGCAGCAACGAATGGACATGTTGCTTGACTACACTTTCAATTTCCTGGACTTCGCTCCTATTGTATTTTGCATAGTTGGATATATATATATATATATTTCATATCCACGTAATATCCAATGTCAAATATAAATGACCTTGGAATCTTGGCCAAAAAGTCGTCATAGTGTTTGAGGCCGATGCGCTGGTTGTGGGTCAGAACTTCATCTTGTTTGGCTCGCAGGTCGTCCAAAGTGCGATACCCAGCCCTAGTTTGCATGTTTGAAATATATATATATATATATTTATAGTACCTGTACAAGTTGGTGGCGGTGGCTGGCCCGACGCCCCATATGTTGGAGAATTGCAACAGTACTTGCAACCTCGGGTCAGACCGTTTTGCCTCTAGCTTCCGCAGGGTTCCAGTCTCGAGGATCTCTCGGATTTTGGCAATGCCTGTCGAGTTCAAGCCATGCTGGGGCTGCAAACTGTGGGCCGAGGTCACGCGATTGGGCAATTGCTTCAATATCGAGCAAATGCGCTGGAAATCAATTAGGAGTAAATGATCAACATAAATGAAAGATTGATACAACGAAGCGTACTTTGTAGCTGTTTTCCCGCCATTCGTCGTTCTCGACGTGCAAATACTCGACGAGTTGCTCGAACGGCCCAGTCAAGTGGGCATTCACGTTCGACTTCAACACTAAACCAAGAGGGGTTGGGATATTCTTGGGACAAACGTGTACTTTTACGTACCAGAGGACGTGGTGCACACGAACGCATCCATGTTGATCTTAAGCGGGTTCGCGGCCTCCTCGGCATGGACGGCGCGCATGGCCGGGTTGGTCGCGTAGAACTTCTCGCGCCGCGCCGCCCAGTCGTCGTCGTCGTCTTCCTGGCTCCGTTCGGTCTCACGAAAGGTGGCCGTGGGAGTGCTACTGCACTCATGGAACTCGGACTCTGGCGGGCTTTGGTCGCCCGTGGCGGCGAGAGGTGGAGGCGGCGGAGGTAGTGATGAAGGCGGCGCTGCTGCGGCCTCTTTTTCGTCGTCGCCGTGCCATTCGCACTGAAGAGGCACTTGTTTGGTCTGGAGGAGCTGGATGACCCACGTGGGGGGCACCAGTCGACGCACCGAGTCAATACCTGGGCATACAGTGGCCAGTCGATCGCGCGTCAGAGTCGTGCTGGCCACGGCAATCGTCGTTGCGCCCGGACGGAACTGCTCGTCCACATGTACGCCCAGTTTGCGCAATTGCGCTTTCCAAATATCCAACCGCGTGCGTGTCATGTCGCTTCCCACGGCGACAAAGTACACGGCGTCGTCGTGGTGGAGCAAGGAAGGAGTCGAGACATCAGTCTGTGCTGTGGAAGTGGTGGCTTGGGCTATGGGTGGCGGTGGTTCCAGACTCTGTCGTTTGGGCAGGGTGTAAATCTCATCCACCCTGTCGAAGAAGCGCCGCTTCTTCGTGTTGCTCAGCATGATCACAATAAGTGCAAACTCCACTGCAACGACTCGATGACCATCATTCTGCAGCTGGCCAATCGAAAGCGTTACACGTGGCAGCCCCAGGGAGAAGCGTCTTCGGTTCACGTCGCCACCTTATAAGTCATGGTGCTATACATCTCTACACTGGGTAACTGCATACTGGACCCTTCTCCCCGCGGCGCTCGATTTCGAGAGCCGCTCAAGATCGCCGCATGCAGGGGCGGATCAGATGGATGGCCGGCCGCCATGAACAGAAGGAAGAATCCCTCGACGCGTTGGGAGAAAGCTGGTTAATCCCGCCGAGCTTATTGGGAAGAACATGTTTTTCCCTGCTGAGGCCTCCGGATAACAAGGCAGTCACCCTTGAAGATCAGGTTTTGTGACTTCATTTTCACATTTGCGTTCAACCCCAGATGAGCCAAAAAGTCGCCGACACCGCCGTCCTTCCTGCCGACGTCGCCACCGAGCCGGTACCAAGACGCATGAATGCTCCACTATGGGAGCTATAGTGATGTTGCGTACGTGTACTCAGGTTGGTGAGCCGTCGCCCTTCATCCAAGCATGCAAGTCGGGTTATGTCGACGCTGTCAAGGCGTTTTTGGCGGAACTCGACGTTGATGTGAATGAAGCGGACCAGGTGCGTCCTCGCCCCCCCTTCATTTCCTGTGATTGATCGATGTATCATTTTGACATTGAATGCACTTTAGGATGGATGCACGGGTCTGATGGCCGCTACCATGGAGCAATCGCTGGACGTCGTCGATCTGTTGCTTCTCGACTCGCGCGTGCTCATCAACGCCGTCGACAACGTACGTCCCAATTCCTCTCATGTTTTCCACGCTGATCGTTGTCTTGAACAGGAACGTGACACGGCGTTTATGATTGCTTGCGCGACTGGCAACGTGCCGCTCGTGACGCGATTCGTCCAAGAATCGTCCTTGGCCCTCAACCACGTGAACGCCGTACGATGTCTCGTCATGTCCTTCGGACGTTCTGACGTTGTTGGAGTAGCGCGGCATGAGTGGGTTCGTCGTCGCGTGTATGCTCGGCCAGAAGGACGTCGTGATCTACCTCAAAGACCAGGAACAACTCAATGTCCAGCACCTTAGCATGGTACTCGCATACAGAATCGTTCATTCTCTCAACACCCCATGGCTAGGGCTTGTACTTTGCCGGTGTGGGCGGCCAGCCAGACATCTTGGGTCTCTTGGCGTCGTTGCCAAATGTCGACGTGAACATTGCCGATCCTGTAGATGATTCATCTATTATTCCATCATCTATTATTCATAGTTATACTTGTAGATGCACGGCAACACGGCGTTGATTGTAGCCAGTCAATTTGGACACGAAGACGCCGTGAAGCGGCTGCTGGAACAGGAATCGATTCAAATCAATCACGCCAACAAGGTAGTACAGTATAATTACACTATTTTCAAGCCGAGCGATAACACTATATTCGGTCATCAATGATAGTACGGCGGGAACGCCTTTCGAAGCGCGTGCGACCGAGGGCACATTGCCATTGTCGACCTCTTGCTCAACCGACCCGAGTTTGCACTAGACGACTTGAACGAGGTAAACACACACACATACCAACAAAACACACGTTTTGCCCAACGCATCACTGGGACAAACTAGGGCTTCGTCGCGGCGGTGGCCAACGGCCACTTGGAACTGGTCCGCAAATTGCTTGCGTTTCCCCAAGTGGACGTCAATTACGCCGTGCAGCCGCCGGATTCAACTGTAAGATTTATATAAAAATTATATATATATATATTGGTATGCTTCCATATTAATATATATTGACAGGTGCTGTTGACCCCACTGACCGTCGCCGCCAGCAGCGGGCACGTCGATGTGCTCGAGGAACTGCTCACGCGCCCGTCCATCCGAGTGAATCCTTTAGACCAGACGTTTGCGTCGCCGCTGGTTCAAGCCAGCTACAACGGCCACGTGGAAGTTGTCAACGTGCTTCTCCACCACCCCGACCTCGACCCGAATCAGCGCAACGATGTACGATCGACTAGTAGAAGTAGTAGTAGTAGAAGGCTACTAGTATGTACTACTAGTACACTCATGGGCTTGACTAGTACAACAACAACGCGTTGTACGCAGCTGTGGCCCACGGCCACGAAGCGGTGGCGTTGCGGTTGCTCGCCGTGCCCGGGTTCCAAGTGCACAACTTGAACACGGTAATACCTAGAATATGATGTCTATTTGGGCATAAATTACACCATTTTATACCTAATCAATAGGCCCACCAAAATGCGTTTATGATTGCCAGCTGCTTGGACCAAGCCTCGGTCGTCGAGACGATTCTGGCGCTGCCGGACGTCGACGTCAACGTCGCCGACGTGGTACACCCGTCTGGATTTGTTTCAAACGTGTTTCAAACGTGTTTCAAACAGGATGGGAAGACGGCGCTACTGCTGGCTGTGGCGAAAGCGGCCACGAACGTCCTCCCGCTGCTTCTTGCGCATCCTTCGCTCGATGTGAACCAGACCGACAACGTACGACCTATCGCTCTTCCTCCACCTAATATATATATATATATATATTGGTCTCTTGGACAGTGTTCATTTTGATATATATATATATCCTAAAGAACGCCATACGTTCGTTCCGTTGAGATGAATATATTTTGGTGGTTGTAGAATGGATCATCGGCGCTGCTGGTGGCGTGTGCGACAGGGCGTGGCGATGTGCTCCGCCTGCTCTTGGCCCATCCCACGATTGACCTGAACTTGGCCTCAACCGTAGTACGACTTACATGGTTGCGTATATGACGAAGATACATGTAGGACACATCCACGGTGGTCTTGGCCGCGGCTTTGAACGGGGCCGCAGACATGCTGGCGATTCTCGTGCAGGATAAGCGTGCAGATGTGAACGTTGTGGACAAGGTATAGAGAAACAGAGCTTGGCACTGGTTGTAAGGTGATGACCGTGAATAAATAGCTCGGCAACACGGCGCTGATTGCCGCGAGTCACACCAACCGGCCGGATGTGGTGCGGGTGCTGCTGTCGCGGACAGACGTGGACCTGTCGGTGCAGAATTTGGTACACATTTGACTCGATTGATTCAAGTACAGTTACTCATAAGGTGGTTGGTGGACATGCCAACAGGAGGGCAAGACCGCATTGGACATTGCCACGTCCAACTACTTTCAAGACGTGGTGGATTTGCTCGTGGCGCATCGGTAAGGAAGTATGGGGGGCGTGGATGGTTCACAAGCAGCGATAAAGAAACAAAGAATAGAATTCATTCCCGAGTGTTGTGGTTGATAATAATTCATGCGGATAGTGGGTTAATGTTCAAACCTGCTCAAAGATCAATCGCTACTGTAATAACTATAGTATAGTATAGTATAGTACTACTGGTAGGATTCACAGTCAAAAGTACCATCACATACTATTGTATACCGGTTACGCTTTCGGCGCAGTCTCCTCGTGTGTCCATCGTTTACTTCTTCTAACGTTAACGGTATTACTATACTGTAGTGCACTACTACATAACTACCTCCGCACTGAAATGTTTGTTAGATTTACCAGAGTGCATCAAGGTTCTTTGCCATATAATTAATTGGTCACACTGTCAAGACGATCACTTTTATCGACTTCGAAAATACACAAACGTGACCGATCAGTGATCCGCCAAAATTTGAATTTTTTCCTTCTTGAATTACTCAGCGGCTATTTGTGCTAGAACAACGATGGACACACATTCTGATAGCCAATTTCTAGTGCTATCACAAGGATTCAAATCTGATCGGATCTGACAGTTCATGTTTCTCCAATTAATTTAGAAAGTTGAGCAATTTACACAGTCGATCAGTGATCCGCCAAAATATATACTTGAAGTGAGTATTGAATTCAGTTTAACAAAATCCAAAATCTTTAGCTGAAAATATAATATGATATAGGTATATTAATTTTAGAAATGTATTAAATTTTGAAGTATTGACAGGTTGGAGTGTTGGACAATTCGTGCTTTGCCTCCATAATTTCTCACGAAGTCAATATTGTAAGAGGTTTTGTTTTGTCCAATACAATTCGAGAAACCATGTTATTGGATAATTTTTTTTGGCGGATCACTGATCGGTCACGTACGTACCAAATCCCAGCGACTCATCAACTCACGCCAGCATCAACTAAATTCTCATATCAGCGATAGATCGCATCTCGAGTACACTCATTATCATTTTCCTTGCTTAGTCGTTGTTTTGTAAACTCTCCCGAATGGAGTCGAAGAGAATGACGAATGGTCGATGCGAATTTCACATTAGCGAGGACCAACAGCATCACTACAACCTCATGGTTTCGGTCGACACCGGGGTCGGTACCCAAGGTCCCATCAAAATGAGGAAGTGATCGGTAGAACAACCATCAGTAAGGAATAAGGAACATATTATCGGGGCATAGTCACGAAGGGTTACCAAATCAAGTCGTTTCCCGAGACGTAGTTGTCCATACATTAGGCATTGGGCAATTGTTTCAACTAATAGAGTAAACATGACTCACAGGGTTCTCGTTGCAGTCTACTGGTAATCGACGTGGACAAGGAAATCCAGGAAGTCGCTTTAGAAGAACAACGAGTGAGTTGCTGTAAACGACCTATCTAGAGTACAGAACCAGTAGTTGCCAAGCTTGGCCCATGTAATTACTTGGTTTATGTAATGCTGCTATGATGTACTCCGGAGCAGGGAACATCAGCAATATGTATATTGACGTATCAATAATTGACAATACTGTTGCGGGCAATAATGTATTGTCCGAGCCTACCAATATCAATAATATTGAACAATATATCAAAACCCAGGCACCCCACACCCTTACAAAATCGACCAAAACGTGGTTAAAGGCATGGCGCACAACATGCAGCAGCCATATTGCCTAAAATCCCTCTATAACGCAAGATAGAGAGCTTTAAAAATCCGGAGTAAAATTCGGCAAAACAATCTGCTACTCACCTCGAATTGCTGCGAATAGACACAGCGGTGGCGGAGCTCAAGCTGTTCATGTCGATGACGAAGAAACTACAAACTCGAAATATCACAATGAGCAATGTTCGCTACCTGTTCATATGCGGCCATCCCACGCCATCCGTTCCTCGACAATTTTGTTGGACCAACTTGCAAGAATGTGTCGTCGCCTGTGTTTGAGAGTGCAATTGTTAAGATTCATGGCTCTTGTGAGAATGAACTTACCCCCGAGGAGCACAATCAAGTTCTGCGTTTGGTCAAGCGGGTGAATCATGCATTCGCAGTTGATGGTCATACTCGGCAGAGAGAAGATGATTTTGCTTCGGAGACCTTGAAACGGCAGCGCGCGGAATCTAAGTCGTCCTCGAGCTATGTGTGCACTTCCTTTATTGTGCCAACATCGAACGACGTTGAACGCCTTTTGAGCTTGTGCAAACGTTTGTACTCTCCGCATCGTCGAGGTTTGAGTCCTAGAACTCTCAAAATTCTGGTCTATTTGAGAACCAATCGACATCTTTGGGATCAAGCTCTTGTGGCATCAGTTGTACATGGTAATGAAGATGAAAACGATCAAGACATTGACGAAGATGATGAAGACATCGGATCTGGCTTCGAGTAAATCGAACCTCAATATATTGAGCATTATTGTCAATACAATACAATATATTGCAATTATTTATTGTTCGACTTGCCCAGAACAATACAATGCACAATACAATATTGATAAGGCCTGCTCCGGAGTACACGCCGCAGCATGCGGACTACGTAGTAGCAAAGAGAATTGAACGATCCTATTGGCCAGTTATTTTCATCTTTGTATCATATAATTGGACAAATATTTGGTAAGGCACCCTGCCTTACGAATTCATCAAAAAGATGCGTTTAAAGGAGTTTAAAAATATCCCATACAAAAAAAATTGACCTATTTAGATCGAGTTATGGAATTCGTAAGGTGGCTCACCTTGCGAGCCTACTAAAACCTACTGTTTCAAGCTGCATTTCTATTATCTTAACTGTTAATCCAAGCCCTTTAGAGATAACCGGGGGAAAATACTGTCAGGGCCACGACTCATAATGTGTGGGAGCCGTTACAAGAAGAATCCGACCAGAACGCATAATAATATCCATGCGTATATGTAATTGGTCAATATTCATTATCAGTCAACCAATAAAATTATTTGTAACGATACAACAACACAATGTCGCATAAATAGCAAAATCACCAATTCACGTGATGAGGATAGGGGTTTACACCAGCAACCCTCCTCCGGGCACAACAAGACCATTAAACCTTAATACTCTGTTCTCCAATTACTGTCGAATTGTTTGACTTGATTAAAGTATGCCAACTAGTTTCAAAACATCGTGATACTAGTATTGACCTCCAGCAAGACATATTGACTTGGAAAATATTTATTGTATTTTTATACAAGCGCTGACTCAGCTTGTTCTTGGAAATTAACCAGTGTGACAAGTCACATCTTACATTAAATCACGTTAAGTCGGCAATTGTAGCCTCCTTGTTCATGTGAGGAAGTATAAAATTGTTACAACCATGCGCTTCAACGGACATTTGCATCACCTTTTGCAAAGTGATGAATGTTTTAGATACTGTGTCTACTGGTAACTCAACAAATACATTTTCCACAGCTTCAATAAGTTCTCCGATTGAACGAGTAACGTGCGGTTTGTCGGTTGAAATGGGGTACGGCCTTCACCGCCGTTTGGATTGCATCATTTGTTCGGAGTCTTGGACGTCCAGAATTCCATAACATAGTTTTCCCTTATCACCTTATACTCGTAAAAATAGATAGTTCTTGTCAAAATATAGAATTATAGAGATCATACCTTTGATTTTTGACGCAACGACAGCGATCCCACCTCTCCGAGAGGCGTTCTTGCTTCCACACGCGCGTGACGGTCCTCGGATGACAATGGAAGCGCTCAGCTACAGTTGACGTTATCGGAAAGAATGACCGTCGGACCGTCGATATAGGGAGGCAGCATGTCCAAATACGTGTCCCAGATACGACTCTCCATCCTGCCTGATTCTTGTACATCATAGTAGTGGCCACTTGGGTATGTCCCAAGCCCTGTTTGATCAATCAGCCCACCAGGCTTGCCATGCACAATGAGCAGTATCGGAAGCTTATCGCCTACATGATTTTGGACTTCAGTATACAAAGCAAAATTGTCTTACCGTCTGCACGACACGTCAGCTCTGCTGTGATGCGATCGGAATACTCTTGGGTCTTGTCCATCCTTGACGACTTCCGGATCTCCGCCTAAATCTTCCCCGACAACATGTCATAGTAGACCACCCCAGTTTCGTCGACGTTCAAAATGTCGTACAGGGGATAGTCGTGGTACTTTTTCCAGAACACGCCGGCGAAGCCCGTTCGAATGGCCCCATTTCGATCGTCGGCAATTTGGTGTAGCATGGCACGCGCTGAGATAACCGATGGCACTTTGCGAAACTTTTGCAAATGCCGAGGATGGAGTTGTAAGCGTTGGCTTTGCCGTCCATGTAGGCATCAAGTCATTACCAGTGAGGATGTGCTTCTCGCGGCGGACGACTTTCATGAAGGATAACAGCTCGTTCTTGAAGGAGATGGACTCCTTTGCACCTTGGCCGCTAAGGCTGGTTCGCTTGGCGTTGCGCTTCGTGCCCACGAGTGCCTCACTTTAGAGCAGCCACCCTTGCCATGTAGAGCGAGGAATATTGTGCATGGTGCAGAATGCTCGTGCAGTCATGTTCAACGAGGCGAACTTCTCAAGCATTTGAAGCTGGTGGTAATCGAGTATGCCTGCTAGTGTCGGATGATCACCATGCCGCCAAAGGTTTTGTTTCTGTGATTGACTTCGTGCAAATTCGAAATAGGCGTGTGGTTTTGGTCTACAGTACTTGATTGTAGCGTGATGATTCGAGTTTACACTTTTTGGATATTCATGTTGGAGATAATTCCTCGGAGTTCAGAGTTGAATTTTACTACTTCGAAGTAATACAGTTGTCCTCCAAGGTTTGCTCCCATGCAATGACATAAACGATTGCAGGAAGTTGATGACATAAAGGTGATACAAAATATTGAAGTTGAAGGTTTTTTTGGTGGATAACCAGTGATTTACACATCAAACTCAATTAAGCAATCGCTCCAGCGAATGACCGGAGCTAATGTAAAGAGACTGGAGGTGCTCCATCAACGGCGGTACAACCACTCATGGAAGCATTTGACTTGATCGGGTAGGTTCAGCTCGGTGGCGATTTGGAGCCCCTTCCTGGCCAGTTAATCGTTGTACCGACCCTTTGCCGACTTCTCCTGTATGTTATTGGTCTCGATCTTGCGCGTGTCCCTCAGGATTCGGCGAATGGTCGTGATGTGGAGCGTGTGGCCAAATTGTTCCGTGACCCACTGCTGCACGGCAGTTGTCTTAATGGGCACGTGAGACGCATAATACGCCCGAATCAAGTTCTTCTCGTGAATCGAGAGTCGCTTTCCTTGTTGTTTGCACTGCGGCATATTCTCAATGTCCTCATAAATTAAGCCTGTCATAGTAAGGTGAATGCAGCCTCATGTTCAAAAATTTAAACCTCGTGTCAATTCAAATCAACCCTTGAAAAGTTATATGGTATTGTTTCATACGGGAATTTCGTTTTGACCAGGGAGCAAACCTTGGAGGACAACTGTATATATATAATTAGAATATATAGGTGGCAGTAAAGAGAACTGGCGATAATACGGGGAGGCCGTATTTTCGCCAGTCTCTGTACTGTTAGTTCGATTTACTGTCAGCTAGAAGGCAATTAAAATGTTTGGAATTTAAGTAATATAATTGTAAATATGGCCACTCCAAAGAGTGAATCATTAGAACTCTTGTTCAGTGACTAAGTTGCGAATGAGAACGTGCTCATTGCCAATTTGCGTTGTAAATGGCCGTACCGATGGTGACTGACTATTTATATAACATTTTGTCTGTGATTGGCATAATGACTTGGTTGACATTTGAATTGATCATTTGCTCGATCTTTTTGTACCATGTGTTTTTTTACTGACATCACTTTCAAAAGTAACAAACAACGGCTTGGCCCCACGTAGCTCAACGGTTAGAGCGACGACATCAAAGCGATAGAGGCAGGGACCCGGGGTTCAATCCCGGGTAGTGGCAAGCTTTTTTCCCGAATTGAAAAAGTTATTCAATTTTTTATGAAAGATCGCAACCATTAAAAAAATTGTCCAATATATAATTAGACACCACTTGCCGGTCGATTTGAGGCGAAACTGCTTCAAGTCGCCTCGCGCGTCGTGCTCGATATTGGAAATGATTGCGGCTCCTCTTCCTTGTCATTTCAGCAGACATACTGCTGTACCTAGCCATAGAGCTTATGCTTTCCAGAGAAGTAGTGTTTGACCTCGTCGAAGCGACCAGTTGGGCGGTAGGATGGCTGGAACTTTACGTCGGTGCAATACAATGCCGAAGGGAAGTTGCTGAACACGTGTCCTTTTCGCACTTGGTCGGTCATTGACGATGGCTTGACGTAATGCTGGTACAAGACAGGCTCAACGATATCCAGGACGCGGTGAACTATCTTCCCGAAGGTTGGTGCTTTCATTCGAAAATCCAACGCATGGTTGTCCCATGCGTTGTAGTGCTTGAGGGTAACCAGCGTATATCCTTGGCGGACACCGGGGATTTGCATCCTCACTCGAGCGTACCAACAAGACAGACTCAACGATCGACCAGATCGTTTCGAATTCGGGCTGAACCAGATTTATCATGGTGGCGAGGGCAGCGTTGATACCCTGCAAGTAGAAACGATCCATGATGGGTGTCGACGAATCTACAGCGTCCTCGACTTGCTGAGAATAGTCATGGTAGACTTGACTCATCTCCTCCATGTTGAGGTGTTCGTCGTTGATGTCGCGTTGAATGCGGTCGAGTACAGCGTTGGGAGCAAGCAAAACACCGAATTCCCAGCTTGGTACATATTTCGTAGAAATTGGGTAAATGAGTCAAATTTTGAGGCGAGTAAAAGTAGAAACGTGGGGGTAATTTGGGACGGAGTAGTATTGCCATTCATAAGGTGAATTCTTCAGTGACTCGATCACGTAGCATTTGCCCATTCCCTACCATGCTTTCAAGGTAAATACGGTATTACTGAACACTGGATCACTTACACAATTTAATACGATTTAATTGCCCGTCATTATTTTCAACTTTCGTAACTGACTGTGAACAAGAATTGCGAAAATGAACAAGAGGTCTATTGATCTGCCAAAATATAGGTTTGATTAACAGTAAAGTACTGGGAATGTCTCGAGCAAACAATACAGATATCTATGTATACAGTTACTATTCGTTTATAAAGCAATTACATTGTATTCAACGTACCTCTGGATGAGGTAGAAACTCTATAACAATGTTCCTCGAATAATATAAACTAACCAAGGGTTTCATTGCTGCGGTAAATAGTTTGATCCAATCATACTAACGTACTGTTAGTATCAATATTGGGCAAGGACCTTTACAAATTCAAATCTTATTGGCTATAATATTCTGTGCTTCCAAAAAACTTCGGTGTCCCTTAAAATCTGTCGCCCCCTGTAGTCGCCTTATTATAATTTGTCAGTAGTATGCGAGGTAGTAACATGACATGTACTATCAAGAGTATTACTTTGATGTGCTTGGCTTGCCGGTTACACCACTTTCGTACCATGTAGTAATCATACTCACTACTTCGAAGCACTTGCCCATAATATCCACTTCACATCAACATCACACCTAGAACAAAACCGTCTTGAACTGAGTATTTGTCTTTTCTCATATCATTTAACTTAAGTATTGTATACGTTTTTTGGCTGAACATAATATGATTAGTTGAGCACATTCCACTCCAGGAAAATATGGAATGCAATATTAATCACTTGAAGCAACATACTATTACTTCGAAGTGCTTCAAGTAATACTATTACCTTAAGTATACTATTATAGGGGCCAATTGGGAAGATATACATACCTATACAATGTACTGTACGTATACTATGTACTGTATATTCAACTGTGCATAAGCTATATGTAATTGTAGCTACAATGGCATAGCTGCTACAGTAACCTGTAGCATCAAGATCATAGCAACATTGATGTGTTGCTACAATGTCCCAGATACCACACTATGGACTAGTGTGGTATCTGGGACAGTACATGCATGGTCGTAAGTACCACCATGAGCTATCGCTCCAAGGTCATAGCTACATTGAGGTTGTCGTTGTACTGTACCAGCTCGGACGATATCTGCATCGTCGAAGCTACATGGATTTGTAGCAACAAGTTCATAGCTACTATTAATACGGCGTGGGGGCGATTTTGGATTCCTTTCTTGGATTATCCGGATAAAGCAGTCATTTTATCTCTGACGAACTGGCACGTGAATTTAACTGTCCAATATGTAACGAACAGCCACTCGAAATTGGTTCAAACTCTGATCAGCAAGGTACGTGCGAACTTTGACCTGATAACGTTACGGTGATGACAAATGTGTCTATGTGATCTAAAGCTTGAACGGCACAGATCATTTCGCCATTACTGCTTTGACGACGTCTACATCTGATGGATCCCATTCATGCAGGCCTTAGTGAATCCCTTGTTGCTCAGCTGCCTGGTATTCACGACCTCCGCGACGGAACAGGCGAATTTTGGCGCTTTTGGCACGGCTGGCGGCGAATTCCGTGGCGACTATACTCTATACAGTATGAGTCGCTTCAAGGGTATAAAAAAGTACAAGGTTTGCTACTTGCCGATGCAATGTGGCAACGATCATCTGAGTATTCTGATCTACGTTGTGAACTTGGCGAATTGGATTTAGCACTCCACCCACCCATGGACGTTCATTCAAATTTGTCAAACGTGGCTGCAATTTGCGAAAAACACCTCCCTGGGACTCGCAAACGACCGCCAGTACTCCGTGCTATCTATCGATTTCCCAAGACATGTCTTGGAGTATCAGGTTCGCGACCTTCAGCGACACGTAATTGCGTGTGAAAAGACCCTCGAGGTTCAAGTTTCGAAGCATCGTCATCTTGCCGTAAAGGTGTTCGATGAGCTGCCAACACGTCCACATGGTTAACGGATAGAACTTCGAATCCAGTTTTGGTTGAATTTGGTTATGCGAAATTTACTTCACTTCAATATAAATATTTCCATGAAGCAACCAAAGCGAAATGCCGACGACTGTCCTGCGACGCTGGAGCCGACGAGACGCGTCAGTGTCCTTGGTCGCATGGAGGAATCTCCAATTGTAACTGTTGTGGCTTTAATCGACTCGTTGGATGAAGCCGAAGTATTTCTTCTGAAATTCCCCCAATTCACGCTTGCAGTGCTACATGGGCGCATCGTCTTCACCGAGCGCCGTGTTTCTGGGTCTAGGGTGCTGACTGTCGATTTTGTGGCTGCCGACGACGATGCACCGATTGATGACCTGCAACTACGAACATGCAAGGCATCTGGCGACACGAGGCGTCACAACATTCTGTACCTTTAAGGTACAGTTGTGTTCGATGTCCCCAGCAATAACCTTGGGTTTGCAGCCGGGCGGATTGCAACCTCCACCCGAACAACCAAGCACAAACGCGAAAACGGCACTGGGCCGTTTACGTTCAACTCCAACTTCAAGTCATGGTATTTTGATTTCGAGGACTAGTAGCTATTACAGTAGATAACAGAGCAAAGAGTAAATTCAAAGAAACTTTTAATATGTTGTTACTCTTATCCCAAGGATTGGGGCCTCGGACAATATCATATGACACATGCGTCCTTCTTCATGTGAGGAAGCTTATAGTCGTTACTGCCATGCATTTCAATGGCATTTTCCATTACTTTTTGAAGGGTATGGAAAGTTTTGGACACCGTGTTCACTGGCGACTCATAAAACGACTTTTCTACAACATCAATTAGCTCATCGATTGAACGAGTGCACTTTTGATACTGCAGACTTTGAATAGAGTTAAAGAACCCTAAGTCTAGTACGTTAAAGTCAGGGCTGTTTGGCGGTTGATTTTGCACTCCAATACCAGAGATCCCACGGGACTCCAGCAACGCTGTTGTGACAGACTTATGAGAGCTTGCATTATCTTGTTGGATCAAGATTCCACTACGCTGGGTGCTGTGATGAAACTTCGCCTTGATGGCTGGAACGACGTTCCCGAGGACCATATCCAAGTACACTTTCGCATCAACGGACTTGGAAGTCGTGACCAATGTCCCCTTCGTGCGTTTTTTACTGTTTCGTTGAGCAGCAACTTGCTCGACGAATGACCATACACCAATTTTTCCGTCGAATAGATCGCTGTTCAACTCAACACGTGGGCGGCCAATGGCCGCCATGAACACCACTTCTGTTATGAAACAATTAGACTTCAGTGAGCGTGTGGCCACAACCTCATCTTCGTACACGTAGTATTTCCGCTTAACCTTAGTCAAATAGAACGATTTTTCATGCCCATTTGACAAGGGTCGAAGGAACGACATAGTGTACTGTAGTCGCGCTCTTGTGTTCTCGTGGGTGAGGAATGGTTTCACGTAGATTTATCGAGCAGTTAACCTCGCAGTTTCCTTCATGTAACGGATGATCGTCGTCCTGGGGATCATACTCTGGCACGCCAACGTTCGAAGAGTTTGGCGCGACGCCTGAGGCACCTGACGAATCGCAACTTCAATTTCTTCGTTCGATCGCAAAATTTTTCGTCCAGAATTTCCCAATATAGTAACCCTTCAGCACTTTATACTTGACAAATTCGATATATCAATAATGGTACATGTACTGTACCTGTACTCACAGGAATAGTAATTTACAGATTAATCAGTCAAATTAGACTATTGTTGAGTACCTTCCCCACATTACATTAAAACTTCATAAATAGTGCAAGAATATCTTGAGATAGGTAATATGACGCATTTTGACAGTTATGTTTAACTTGATTAAAGTATGTATTGATTATTATGACGGTTATCTTACACTTGATAAAGGGTGCGTCTGGTAACATTTCAAAAATATTATTCCATTTTCTCGAAAAATGGGATTAACCAAATGCAATTTTCAAATGGAGGTAAAAGGTTCATTTTGTAATGTGGCGTTTTGCACCTCTTGAACGAGTAAATTCCACGTGGAATTATTGGATTTGGGTTGAAACTCTTCAAGCAAGACATGTTTCAATTTTGATCAGATTAATTGAATTTGGCCCCAAAATGGCATATTGGGCCTGAATATTGCAATATTTCCGGTTACCAGATGCACCCTAAAGTATTGTGCACAATTGCAGACATCGAAAACATCTACATCGCCCGAAATCTCTGCCCCGACGCAGAGGAGACTGCGAACACCATTTTTCATTTAAGTTGAGGATATTTCCGGTATATTTCGTCCGACAGCAGAACTGATTCACGCTATGTGTGTTATGTTCGCCAAGCAATCGAAATATTTCGTCCATACCCTATTCCGTTGCAGTAGATTTCGACCAATATCCGATATATATCACCCCACAACCGGTATATTTCACACGTAGTTCAATATATGCATATTTCAAATAGTGTTCCAACTATTTCAAGTTTAGACGCAAATCAAGTAAATAAACGCCCTGGTTCATCAGTGCATGGCATCCAAGATTTCGGCTTGACCGTAGAACAACTCACCCTACAAGTTGTAGGATTGTAGAGGATTCACGTCGACTCATATTTATGGTTTAACTGACGAAATACTATCCACCACCTGCGATTTACTTGATTTGCATCTAAAATCGAAATAGATGGAAGGTCATTTGAAATATATTGAACAACGTGCGAAATATACTGGTTCCAGGTTCACATACCGGGCATCAGACGAAATATAGTGCGACCATGTCAGGACGAAATACTACTTCCGATTGGAAATGATTGATAGGTTTTCTCCTTACAGAAATATTCCGCGACCAGCCCCTACGTGCAGTATTATTGTTATACTACACCATTTTGCGGTTAATTTCACAAAAAGTCTGGTACATTTCGTCGAATCTCATTTAAATTCGTGGAGGTTCAATATATTTCGCGACACGGGCATTTAGTTTCGTGGGAACGTCGAATTCACCCATCATATTTCGTGAATTGCCAGTATATATTTCGTGATTAGCTCAGTTAGAGTCGCAAACATCCAGTATATTTCGTGATGAGACCAATATATTTCGCATAAATGTTAACGCAATGAGTGTAAATACGTAGGAGTGGGGGCTACGCTCCAACCAATACGTCGTCCATGTTTTCCGCTCTGTCGTAAGCTGCTTCGAGGTGGCGAGCGTATTGATGCAAACGGTTCACATCAACTACTACAACAATCAACTCTAATCATATATATGTGGTGGCATAATCATACCTTGGATAACCTGTTCAGCAATATGCTCCAGATATTGCATCCGGAATTCTTCACGCGTTGCTCCATCTGAAGGTGGACCCAAGAATGCAGCTAGTCGCTCACGAATCAACGTCTTCACACGGGCTTTCATTGATGACCACACGTTCTCGATATAATTGAGCATGAATGAGTAGGGACTGAGCGATAAAAATGTAGCGTCACTAAATTCTTCCTCGTCAAATACTCTTCCAATCCTACTCAACGTTAGCGAAAAACTAACATAAATTACGTATACTACCTTGTATGGATGGCATGGCGCATTGTCTGCTAATACAACAAGATCACCCAAGCCGTCAAAGTGTTGAGCGGCAGCACGCAACATCCCCCATAACCAATCGTTTGCATGCTCTGCCTTGAAAGCTCCGCGCTTCTTCGTTCAGATGAAAAAATTGTTGACAGACATAGCCTGTCCGTATAACTCCGACCGATGGAGTTGCTCGTCGTTTACTTATGCGTAAAATGTGTAAAAATTGAGTGATCTACACATTCTAGTTACGCAGAAATATAAATGCAAATGAGTTGATGAATTAATTTATGCATGATGTGTGTGAAAATCGATTGACTTACACTTCCCGATCGCCGTGCTACCAGCGATGTTGCGCCGCCTTCGCCTGGGATTCGTAGTGACACTTCAACAACATCTCCAAAGCCAGGGCGGATGGAAACACCAATAGCGATATTATGTCGGGGCAACGAAGACATATCGTTGAAACCGGGGCGCAAGCAGTTGCTTCAGCAAGTGGGCCCTGTTGGAGGACGACAGGCGTAAATTAACGCCACTACAAAAGCCGAAATCCCGGTGATTTCGTTCGCCAAACCGCATCATTTTGCCATTTCTACAATATCAAAAGAAAGTAAGGAAACACAATAGTATCAACCAAAACAATGTGAGTTGCACTCACGCACCTATCGAAAGACGACGTCCAAAGACGATAAGAAGACCACAAGGACATGGATGTGATTGGCATCTGGGACGTCAACAGACATAAATGCATCAATAGGCGGGATCGGATCACGGACAAGTGGCACAATGGGTGGAGTGGCACTTCTGAAGAAAGGCAGTATCCAATCTCTAACGCTGATGAAGCGCCCACGGATACCACGGGGAGGTTCGTCATTGTTGCGATCGGCAATTTCGGCACGAGCCTCCAGATTGCGAATACTGCCATTTCCCGCGCGAGGGATCCATCGCTGCGTTGACCACATGCTCACCTTCGGCGGCGAGTAGTCGCTCCACATTGCTCGGCACAGGCGCAGCTAAATAGTGCCATGTCCAACCAGCGGCCTTCAGTATCGTTAGCCACATGGAGGTGCAGCTCGTGTGTTGGGCAGGCAAAGGTGAGCTGACTCTTCACAAGCTCCATCAGACGCCACACGAGTTGGTCGGTGGCGATTTCAACGTAAATGGGTTTCATGCAACCGTGGAGCATACATGTCAACGTAGCCATCTTCTAACTAATCAAAACTCTCGCGTTCAATCCCTTGAAAAATTGGATTATATGAGTACTGAACAGCTTTGTACAACCTTTATAATCAACGAACTGGCAACGCAAGCGAGGCTCGTGATGATTGATGAGCGCTGGATGTAGCTCATATTGGCCCACTTAACTTATGTATTGTAGCCTAATGTTAGAGAGGCTTCGAACGTGTGCATTGTGTCATTCAATAAAATACACCTCGTTGGAAATGATTGATAAGTTTCACTTTGTTGAGCCTAGAACAACTGTATCTCAGTCCAAATAGGTTATTGTATTCCCTTCGCCTGAACGTCCATGCCAAAATCCAATTCAAAATCCTATGGCAATGTAGTGCAATCGCAGCAGTTAGCGCCGCGTTACCAAGTAAACTGGTCCAATTCTTGATGTAGTTAGCGTTGTTGGCATTGCGAATGATTACTGAACTCATATCGCTATAAGGTGTTCGGCAGTGACATCAGCACCAGTAGCAAGCGTTTCAAAGTCAACACCAGGTGACGCCAGGAGTCGCAAATGCTTTCTGGCCGACGGAGGGCCATCATCCAGTGCGGTTTCTGTGCACCCGGTGCTTAACAATGGGCATGAGCCTGCCATAGTTCAGAATCTGGCCCTCTGCAACTTCTCTGG